GCAGGGGTGAATAATGTATACCCTTCTTTCACCCCCTAGTGGGGGGGGGGTAAAAAAATTCGAAAACTTTTTAAAAATCCACGAAAACCTTCATTTGAAGAAATCCATGGAAACCAACAGGAGAAAATGATGCTGCTACAATACCGCCATCTGTTTTATTGGTTCCGTATGATGCTTAATATATATATATATATATTCCCATATGGTTCAGAAACCCCTAAATATAAGTTTGAGCACACATTGGCGTAACCTAGCGGAATCTAATTCTATATAAAATAATATAATTTAATCTTCTTCGGTTTATTTTTCATACAAATGATTAAAGAGATTTTTTATTAAATATCTTCACGTGTCGCTGAGTCTTATTGTCTTCGGATTTGTTCATTTTATACATATCTATAAGATCAGCAACAAAATTTAATGAAAAGCGAGAAACGGTTGAACCGACCAGATTTATAGTTCAACCATTTATCTTTATTTTTTCTGATTTTCAAAGAAAACATCCCTCCCCCCCACGGGTATTATTCTCATGATTTTGTACCTGTTTCATGCGTTTGATTTCCGGAATTCAAAAAAATGTTTAAAAATTAAGAANATCAGGTATAGAGTATACTGTAGACCTGGTTTAGTAGCCTACACAGTGACATATGGTGAACATGTTTACTCATCTTAAACACAATTTCTAATTTCAAAAGTTGCATTAAAAAAACTTAATTAATTTTATTTGAAATATTGGATTTTGAATGAAACTTTGAAAGAAACTTGAATAAAACTCACTTTTAAATGTCGTGAACAGACGCCAAAATTGGAGAAAGGATAGAGAAGAATGACAGTTATTACAATTTTTAAAAAGTAAGTTTTAAGTATCGATTAGTCTTATTAGGATCTGGATCCGCAACATTCTGGCTCCCTGGATCCGGATCCCCTAAAACATCCGGATCCAAGGAGCAAAATAGTGCTTACCAATAGAGATTGTTAAAAATCTTGCAAAATAATTTATGAATGATTCTATATGCCGCGTTCAATGACAAGAGACAGACAGATAGCATGCGCATAACTCCTTTGGGCTTCTATCTCAGGGTTGTTGTGAACGAAAACCCCCTAAATCTTGAAAAGACGACATCTAGTGTTCTATCTGTATTGTTATTAATCTATGGTTCAAACGTTGTTTTCCACATGTTACTTCTAAATATTTGTATTCGTATCCTGTATTTCACCCTTTTTAACATTCAAGGTATTACCCTTTGGGCTTGAATTTCAAAGCTTCACTATTTCTGGAAGATGCTTCATGTTTTCTCAATTTTAAAATAAATCTTGAAATTTGAATTTTGGAATCCACTTGGTTTTCTTTTTATCCAACCAGACTCAGCAGAAATAACGAGTTTTAAAGGGACTGTCGACAGAATTAGAAGTGTTATCCTTTAACCATTTCTTATCAAAAATGTATGAAGCAAAGCCAAAGAAAAAAATGGACAGATGTATTTCTTCAATATAAAATGACGTTATCTTCCTCATTATTCCGGCTGCCTACGGTTAAATACTGTATACCTTGTATCAGTCATGTAACTTTTAGAATGGAGGATCCTTTGAAATTATGCCAACATTCCCTTTAAGTACGGAGGAAAAAATGAATGCACTGTAAATGCAAAGGACGGGGGTTGGATTGACGGAATATAAGATTCAGAAATCGAATTTAATGAATGGGAGAGGTCGTTTAACCACCAACCACCGGTTCAAATCATGAATCACCGTTTCATTCCCAGTCTTCAATCAATTGCCTATATCCTCAGGAATTTTATAACTTTGAATCAGTGATTCAGGATTTGAACTGGCAGTTCAACGACTTATCGCAATTCATTTAATCAGGTTCATGATATAGCATACCAAACTATCAATGCATTTATTCTCTAAATTTACAGTTTTCAACGAATCCCTGAGATTGAATTGTAAAATGTTGCCTCAAAACTTCTTTGTGTGTTAACTAATGATTGAGCTGTGCTGCAGTAGGTAGATAATCAAGTAGGGAGGTAGGTAGGTAGATAATCAAGTAGGGAGGTAGGTAGGTAGAAAATCAAGTAGGGAGGTAGGTAGGTAGATACTCAAGAAGGGAGGTAGGTAGGTAGATAATCAAGTAGGGAGGTAGGTAGGTAGATAATGAGGTAGGTAGGTAGATAATCAAGTAGGGAGATAGGTAGGTAGATAATCAAGTAGGTTTATATTCTTGAGTTGAGTAGAATAAGGTTGATATAAGTTTAGACATTAGAGATATAGATATATCCTCTCATTCTTTCTATAATCATATCTCCGTATAATCTCCATAAAGTTTCCAATGGAGTTCCAAAATCGCTCTTATTGCGAAATTCAACTTTAAAATTCGCGCTACACGAATTAAAATTTGCGCAACAACTTTTTAACGGTGGAAGAAACCTTGTTCTTTATCCAACCTCTTGGCTCCGAAGTGATAAACCACCAGAGATGGAATTCAAAGAATTTGAGCCGCGGTTTAAATCTGCCAAAACCCGGTTTAAATTAAGCGTCGGCTTAAATCTTGAAACATTTGATACAATTTTAAGTGGAACCAACCATATTTAAGCCGCGGCTTAAATTTAAACCGCCGCTCAAATTCTTTAAATTCGGCCACAGATATCGAAACTTTTGTGTGAAATATCGTTAATACTAAAAAACTGAGTCTTGATACCCGATGTTGGCACTTTTTTATTTGAGGATAAACGATTGATCCCTCAAATAAAGGTATCCCTGCAGGCAGTGCTTAGAATCCATTTGATTTTGATGCGGATCCTGGATCCGCACGGGAAAAAATGGATCCGGATCTGGATCCAAACCCGGATCCGGATCCAGGTCATTTCTTTAAGATTTACTGAATTGTTTTAACAAAAAAATAATTTTCAAATTTTTTGTTTTATTTTTTTCGCTTATTTTTATCCTAAAACTTGATGAACCATTCAGAAATGAGGAAAAATCTCTTTTTTTTTCAAAAGTTCAGAGTTGGGTTTTAGGAGTAAAAAAGTTTTTTTTGTAGTTTTTGGTTGATATTTTACCCCTTAGATCCGGATCCGTGGATCCGCATATTTTTGCGGATCCGGATCAAGGAAGCCAAAATCTTACGGATCCAACGGATCCGGATCCTAGGCACTGCCTGCAGGACATGACCACCATGAAGAGAAATTAAATTATATCAATCCGTCTGTAGAAGATGGAAATCCAATTCTTGATCTTGAGATTTACTTTACAACATAACAGTTCTGACTCCAGGACCTGCAGTCTGTATCTGTTCCAACCATAGATAAATAAATAAACATGGATAGCTTATGCACGTAAAATCACCAAGAATTGTACAGTCCGCGAACTCATGCTTCTAAGGGTCAAAGTGTAGTTTAATGATAAGCGGGGTGGTTTGGTGTTTTAATGGATTTCATAATTATTAAACCACTCAGGAGTGAATTTTATTTTGAGAATATCACATTGACGAGAACTGAAGAAGGACTAAACTAACTTAAATTTCTCTCTACAGAACTCATGTACACCACAAGTACTCAATGACATAAGAACAGCCAATGTTCACAACCGACCTAGTTAATCTATATAATAGGAATATCTTTAAAACATCTCTGTACATTTATATCTTTCAAGATGAAAAATGTCGTTTTATGCCGATCTATCTTTATCTATGGTTCCAACGTATGCAATTTGTCACATTCCCCCCGCCTTAATTTGATAAATTGTGGGAACTATGCTTCATCTTATAGTTCAGTTTCTTCATATTTTTTTTAGATTCATCTTGAAATTAAAGAATTGAAGGGACTGTACGTGTAATGTCAAGTGGTCCTCCATTTGTAAAAGAGAATGTCGATTCAAAATGATACCATTTAAACCTTTGGTTGATCAAGGATGATGAGATATTCAAGATATTCTCTTGGAAAATTGATCACTTTTGGTCAAGTGATCATGTGTAGTTGTAAATAAAACATACCCCACTTACCACATGAAATTACATGGCCAGTCCCTTTTTATTTGATACATTTTGAGAATATGTTCTATCTCATTTTATTCACTTTATCCCGGTACAGTTTCTTCTTGAAATTATAGGTTTAAGAAATCTCAGCAGACATGTTTGAATACAGATTGCTTCCTTTTGTAATATACCTTACAACATCATTGAACACTTAGATGGGTTAGGGGGGGGGGTCATTAAGTTTTAATCTATCCAAAGCCCGAATTTAATGAATTTGAGCCGCGTCTCAATTGAGTGCCGGCTTAAATCTTGAAACATTGAATACGATTTTCAAATTGGAACCAACCATATTTGAGCCGCGTCTCAAATTTAAGCCCTGGCTCAAATTCTTTAAATTAGGCCTCAGGACTACAATTTCAATTAAAAGTTATGTCATAAATTATTGTTACTTTACCCGATTATATAGGAGTAATTTTCTGGAAACAAATATCTCTGTATTAATATTTCATGTTCACATTTTTGATTTTTCTTTCGGAACATTGCGTGTGCCACAGAATTAATGTCAGCTTTTTCGTCAATTGAAAAATTTTTATACGTAATTTGACAATATATATATGTAAATTATTGCCATTTTTATTGTTGTTAAATATTTCAGATATTTTAACAGATTTTTAGTTAGGATTTTGTAGTTTTTTAGCGATACATATTTAGTTTTTGTTTAATATCTCGGGAAGATTTTCGTCGGTTTGACATTTTTTCAGCTGGTATTTCGAAGATTTTCGTCATATGTTATTTTTTGTTTTCAATATTTCGAAGATTTTTGTCATTTCAGCAGATATTTTTTTTAGTGGTATTTTTTAAAACTTAGCCAAATATTCAAATTAGAAAAATGATATTTTAGTGATTTTCGCCATTTTTACAGATATTTCTTTTTCAGCTGGTATTTTGAAGATTTTTGCCATATGTAAAGTTTTTTTTTCTCAAGAATATCGAAGATTTTCGCAAATTCAATAGATATTTTTTTCAGTTGGTATTTTGGAGCTATGACCCGGCAGGATGCAACGGATCTGCTCATGGCGGAGAGAGAAGGCGGAGTATTTCTAGTAAGGTAGGTCAAGCGGAGTTTGAAGGGAATGTTTACGAATATTAAAGAATATATTTTACTATCAAATCAATTTGTATTTTGTAACGGTCAAAACTTTAATTTTACAAGAAGTTAATTTTGACATCTAATCTAAACTGAGAACTCGCCTCAAACTCTAAATTTTCTAATCCTTATATCTCTGCAACCTGACGCCGTATACATTAAATATATCAAACGATGAATTTGACTAGATCTTAGTATAAAAGGTTTACACCCTCATGTGAAAAAGATAGGGATTGGACTAATAGAGTTTGATTCAAGTAATCAGTTCATTTAGATGTAAAACTTAATTTTCGACGAAAATTATTTTGATTTTGATTTTGAATTTCATTATCATAATGTTGTTTAATCAATTAAATTGCATATGTTCAATATAATGTACCCTTATTAACTTCTTTTTCAATTTTTAATTTACACAACCGTACTTTTAAGTTTGGAATTTTTAGCAAATTTAAAATTTTATTTTTAATTTGTTAAATTTGTATTAAAGTGTTAATATTATTTTAGGGATTCATCCAGTATTGTTGGAGGAAGGCTGCAAACAACAAATTTTACTTTTTCATGATATTTTTTTCTACATTGGGCCCATAAATATGTGGAATAGAAAGACGACATTGATGCAATATTATGTTAATTTATTTTGTTCATGTCATGTATAGTTTCTCCAATAGTCTGATAGTCAGGATATTAAGGGTTTGTGTACATTGCACAATTTATGTTTCAGAGGACTATTTAGCAGTGCAAAGGATCCGTATCTGTTGGGGAAATATCAACCAAATATCAACCAAAACCATAATTGTTTCTCTTAAAACACAAATTTAAATTGTTGACTGATAATAATTTAACAAAAATGTCCAAACTAAGTTTCGGCAAAAAAAAGCCCACAAGAAGAAAATGTTAGAAAATTTTTTGTTTGTTTAAAATATCGTTAAATCTTGCAGAATTGTCCTTGGCGCATCAAAAATAAATGGATCCTAAGCACTGCTACTTAGAATAGAAACTTGAGTCTAAAAGTCGTCTTACCTTTCTACAGTTTTATGGATCTTACAACTTGTTTTATGTTCCGAAAATGAAAATATCACAGATTCCACGTGCTATTTTATTCATTCGATGTTTTTATTTAACTTTAAAGCATCGATAATACAAAAAAAATATTTAACATTCCAACTTTTATGTTCCTTGATTTCTTTTTAAAAGTTTGTTGAAGTTACTTATTGATAAATGTGAGCATTTTCACTAAACTTTTTCTGTTAAATTTTATAAAAAAAATTCATACTCTACATAATTTTTCAAAAAAAATATTAATCGTTGTTTGTCTGTCTACAGACTATGTGCTGTGTGTGAAAGAGGACTCCAAGGTGTCTCATTATATCATCAATAAAATACAACAAGGTAATATTAAGATTAATAAAATACAACAAGGTAACATTTAGATTAATAAAATACAACAAGGTAATATTTAGATTAATAAAATACAACAAGGTAATATTTAGATTAATAAAATACAACAAGGTAACATTTAGATTAAACACATTTTTTATACAGTAATATCAAACTCTTGAAACGAAATTCTGAGAGTCAAACACTTAATCCCCAGCCCCCGCCCGTCAAGCCCTTTCGATATACTTGCTGAAGTGCCCGGCGTTGCCCGTGAAATTAAAATAAAAATTGAATTTAAAGAAAATTATGTTCAGCCTATGTTACCCCCCGGGTACCCATGAATTCCTTAAAAAAATGTCAGCTAATTGTTCCAGTTGTTTGACCAGCTATGTAGCTAACATATTTGTGAATATTTAAAAGAGCGAAGAGCTTTTTTATATAGATTTAATAGACAAACTTCTTGAAAGACTAACTAATGAAAGACAAACTTCTGAAAGACCTTCTCTTGAAATGCAAACTTCTTGAAGGACTAACTCATGAAAGACTTTAAAGACTAACTCTTGAAAGACTAACTCATGTAAGACTAATCATGAAAGACTTACTCATGTAAGACTAACTCATGTAAGACTAACTCATGTAAGACTAACTCATGAAAGATTAACTCATGAAGGAAAAAATTCTGACAGACAAACTTGTGACTTGTCTCACACACAAACTCGTCACAAACAATCTTGTGACAGACAAACTTGTTACAAACAATCTTATGACAAACAAACTTGTGACAAACAAACTTGTGACAAACAAACTTGTGACAAACAAACTTGTGACAAACGAACTTGTGACAAACAAACTTATGACAAACAAACTCATAAAAGACTAACTCATGAAGGACTAAATACCTACCTACCCCAAATCCTCAAGCCTTTGAAATATATTTTTTTAAATAAAATGTCCTCTATAATTGTATTTTCTCTAAGCCCCTGTGTTGTGAAAGAATAGAATTGTTTTATCTCGGTTCAATTTATTTAATTTATTTTTATCTATTCACCTTCATACGAAGAAGCACTACTTTCAATTAAATTGCTTAGGTTGAAAATGTTTAAATAACAGAAAAGTGGCAACCTGGTCAGAAAACAGGACAGGACAGGACAGGACAGGACAGGACAGGACAGGACAGGACAGGACAGGACAGGACAGGACATTTTTCTTAATAGAAATTTGTGAAGAAATCAATGGTAGAATCAATTATTTCTTATGTTTTATTGAATTTCTTATTCTTTATAAATTTTTTTAAATGTCGCCTTTTTAAGAAAAATTTTAAGGAAATCTACCGAAAACGTTTACGATCATCAAAATTGCAGAAACCGATAACTGAATAATTCTGTTGTTGTTACATTTTTTATCGTCCTTTCAGATTGGACCATCCAGGAGAATTTTTAAAGATTGAATTTGGGCTGTGGTTGAATTATACACCGTAAAAACGTCTCATATGAATTCTGATAAATTTCTCCATGATACTACACTCTCAACTCAACTACCATGTCTATCTAGCCGTTATAGTTTTATTTTCTACAGCAATTTCTAGGAACAAAAACTAACTGAAAAAAAAACGTAATTTACTGCCAACATTTGATGGCAAGGTTTCCTTTAGAAATATAAATAGGAATCATATTAGTTTTTTTCTTCTTTTCATAAATGGGAATCCGGTTAAAAAATATAAAAACGCAGTCGGTTAGTGATGGGCGTTGGTTAAGTTTTTTGTCTTCTCGGTTAGTGATGGGCGTTGGTTGAGTTTTTTGTCTTCTCGGTTAGTGTTTGGCATCGGTTAAGTTTTTTGTCTTCTCGGTTAGTGATGGGCGTTGGTTAAGTTTTTCGTCTTCTCGGTTAGTGATGGGCGATGGTTAAGTTTTTTGTCTTCTCAAAAATTTAAAATGGTTGAAAAGTTTGCGCGAAGCAAAAGGTTTAGTTCCTGAGTGAAAATGTAGGCCTCAACGAGTTTCACATCGTTCATTAACGAACGATTGGGGTTTTATCATTCCTTCTGCATAACTATGATCCATTGCATGGAGAAAAAAATTCAAGCTAACTGTCGTCTTCCATTTTCACAGTTTTATGTTTCCCTTTGTCTTTAGGTGATCAGATCAGATATAGAATAGGATTGTATTTAGGCGATCAGATCAGATATAGAATAGGAGATCAAATGTTCACAGATTTACCCGCCTTATTAAATTTTTATAAGGTAAAATATTCGTAATATTTTGTTTTATAAAAAAAATTTTTTATTATTTTATTCGATTCCTAAGTAAATAAATGTTTAATTTGATCAATTTCAGTTCAGATTTCGACTAGTGTAAAAACATTTTTTTGTTAGAAAAGTGGTTAAAAATGCTAACAATGTGTTAAAAATGTTGTTAATGTTCAAAACACCACAAATCAATTAAGGATGCGACTCTTCTAAAATTGATCTAAGGAAAAGTTTTTTTCAGAAATACTTTTTTGAAATTGACCCAACAATATCTATCTTTTTGTCTGAAATTGCCCCCGAGAATAGATATCTTCTTGTTTGAAATGGATCCCAAGAAATGCGTTTTTTTAATTTATCCCAAGAAATGCTTTTTTAAATATTGAAATCAAGAAATACTTTTTAGAAAATTTATCTTAAGAAAAGTTTTTTTAAATTGATCCCAGAAATGCTTTTTTCTAAAATTGTTCCCATGAATAACTTTTTCCAAATATTTTTATATTTTTATTCAACTACAAAGCATGAGATATTACAAATAAGCAATCGCAATTTACTATGCAGTTTGGACCCGCCTAACCAGGGTTATTTTGAAATTGGTCCCAAGAAATACTTTTTTTAACATTGATCCCAAGAAATTCTTTTTTTAATTGATCCTAAGAAATGCTTTTTCGAAAATTGATTCCAAGAAATGCTTTCTCTGAAATGGATCCCAAGAAAAGTTTTTTTTTTAATTAATCCCAAGAAATGCTTTTTCTATTATTAATTTCAAGAAATGTTTTTCCAAAAATTAAATTAATCCAAGAAATGCTTTTTTTAAATTGATTCCAAGAAATGCCTTTTCTAAAATTGATCCCAATTAATACTTATTTTGAAATTGGTCTTAAGAAATGTTTTTTTAACATTGATCCCAAGAAATACTTGCTTTTAAGAATTACTTATTTGTTTTTCCTAATTAATTATAATTTTGTAATTTTAGCTTCACTACTTGGACACGACGCCATTAATAAGACCAGCTCCTAAACGAGTAGAGAAGGTTTTGGGAAAGTATGATTTCGAAGGCAGTGTAAGTAATTTTTTTATATGATCTAAATAATTTAAACTTATCCATTTTACACTGCATAAGATGGTGAATCGGATGACAAAATTTGGGTTCCTTAAAGGGACTGGCTGAAATTGTTTATGCGATGAAAAAGTTTGGTTAAAGGGACTGAAAGCTTAACTTCGAGTGACCCTTCGGCCTCCATGCAAAGATGGCTATACCCGATTTACAACGATACCCATAAAAGCTTATTATGATCAAGTATGAATTAGATTTTGTATCCTACTATTCATTTTCATGTGCGGAATCTGAAAAACTTAAATCAGACGAGGGTTTCAATGTTATTGTTGTAAATCGGACATCTTTCCATGCATGGAGGGTTTTTTAAAGATTCTCATTGAACCTTTAAAAAATAGCTCAAAAACTATTCATATCTCGGCTCAGAACTTTTAGGGATATATACTTTTAAGAATTACCCTGTGGGGTGGGGAAATATGTTCTGAGCTGAAAACTTTGGATATCGAGATCAATGCTTGATCTCCTCTTTTTCTTAATCTCCAGATTAAATAGTGCTTGTTCAACTCTTGTTATTAATCTCCAGATTAATTAACAGATCGGGATTAAGGATATCACATTTTAAAGTTTTCAGCATCAAATTGCAAATTGATACAAAATAAATAACAACTAGGGGGGAAAAGTTAATGTTCATAAGAAGAAAAAAGTTAAGAATTTTTTTTACTTTTTGACTTTTTAAGGACCCAGACGATCTACCGTTCAAGAAAGGTGAAATATTGACCGTGGTTTCTAAAGATGAAGAGCAGTGGTGGACTGCTAGGAAAATATACTCATTTTTTATAATATTCCCCCCCCCTACACCTTTCTTCTTAAATACCCCCCCTCCCTCTCAACACCTTTCTTCTCAAAGGGACTGTAAGCGTAATTTCAAGCGACTCTCCGTGCAATGATGGTAATGGCCGATTTACTAGGGCACCCTTAAAACTTTATCTGATATGAATTAGAACTCCATGTTTTTGTTTTTGAAAACTGTTCATTTTGATTTGTAGTTTCTCTGCAAAGTGACTAGCGCATTTCTTGCTTATAAGAAACAATGGAGAAATTCAAAGAGTTCGAAAAACATGGAGAGTCAGAAAACCGACATGTTTCAAGGGTACCCTTGTAAATCGGGCATTTTCATCTTTGCTTACACAGGGTCACTTTAAATTAGCTTTAAAGATTTAAGATTTACATAAAATAAAAGTTCTGTTCAGGAAGTTATATTACAAAGTATTCTCTTTTTGTCTGAAAACTTATTTTTCTCCGAAAACTTTTTATTATTCATGAAGTAATAAAAAAGAAGAAAGTTTATGTTATTCCACGAGAATTAATTGTTTACCTGTTCTTCTTAATTACCGTTTCTCTGTTTTTATTTTGTTTTTTCCAACTTTGAGAACTTTTCTCTATTCTTTTTTTAGGGTTAAATGTTTTTAATAGCTAGAATGAAAGAAATGAGGCTTTTTGCTACAAAACTTCTACAGGAAAATGTAAATGTTTTTAATTATTTAACATTAATCATTTTAAGCATTTAAAATTTAAAAGTTTGCAAGTTTAGTCTCTTTTCCTTGTTTAAGAAAATAAATTTTATAAGGAAAAAGTATTAAAAATAAAAAATTGCCTTTTAATGTTCATTTTTTCTTCCCCTGATCATCAAAAAGCATCCCCCCCGTGTAACTTTTGAAAATATATACACCCCTGCCCCCCCCCCTCCATCCATCCCAAAGTAATGAGTTTATTTTTTCAGAAATTCCCTTGGTCAGACCGGATCAATACCTGTACCTTATGTGACAAAAGTAACCAACTAACTTCTTCATTGCTTAACCTTCTTAATCTTTTGTTTTATTCCTTCTATTTTAGTTTCATCATTGCTCTTTCAGTTTCTTCATTGCTCATCCTCCTTGGTTTCATCATTGCTTAACCTTCTTAATCTTTTATTTTATTCCTTCTATTTTAGTTTCATCATTGCTCTTTCAGTTTCTTCATTGCTCATCCTCCTTGGTTTCATCATTGCTTAACCTTCTTAATCTTTTAGTTTCTTTATTGTTCTTTCTCCATTTAGTTTCATCATTGCTCTTTCTCCATTTAGTTTCATCATTGCTCATATCATACTCCTTTTTAGTTTCTTCATTTCTCTTTCTCCTTTTAATTTCCTTCATTGCTCATACTTTTTTTTTAGTTCCAACATTGCTCATTCTCTCTTTTTTAGTTTCTTCGTTGCTCATACTTCTTTTAGTATCTTCATTGCTCATACTTCTTTTTATTTTATTTATTGCTCATACTTCTTTTTTATCTTTTATATTATTGATTACTTATTTTTCATTTTTATCTTTTATCATATTCATTGCTTATTCTTCTTGTATCTTTTATTTTTCCTTCTTTGTGACTTTTCATAAGTTTTATATATTTTTCCTTCTTTATTGCTTTTTATTAGTTTCCTATATTTTTCCTTCTTTATTGCTTTTTATAAGTTTCCTATAATTTTTAATTATTGTTTTTTATAAGTTTCCTATATTTTTTCATAATGTTGAATTATATAATATTCATCTTTAATAATACCATCCAATATCTTCATCTTTCTGTCTTCATTGTGCTTTAAATCAACTTTGGTATTGGATATTTATTGATCCTCCCATCCCTGAATAATTTACTAACTTGTATCCCGGGAACTTGGTCGCCTAGCAGGGAAAAAACTGGAGAAAGTACAGAGGTTAAAACATGAGTGTGTTCCCGCCATTTTCCCATTAGAGATAGACAAAAACATAATTAAGACTATGAATAATTAAATGCTATTTTACATTTATAAAAAAAAATAACCTTTGTTTTTCATAGTTTTCGTGTGTCCTTTTTTTGTTTTGTTGATTTTTAGTTACGTTATATGAAAAATGTTTAAAGTTTTAAAATGTTTATTATTTAATTATTTGCAGTAATACACATGTGGGTAGTCTGTTAAAAGATTAGGAAGGCCAGAGCAATGTTGAGAAACATATTTAATATTTGATATTTGTTAAAACCTCTCCATTATGTTCTAACTGAAATTAAAGTTTGGAATCTTGCTTTGCAGAATATTTGGGCTGAAAGTCTGCTTGCAAAATCATAGATTTTAAAAATGAGATAAAAATTTCAAGATTCCTAATCCCAATATAAATGTATATAAATAGAAATTCCGGACTAGCGACGTTGTGGAGATTACTAATTGTGAGCTCATGAAACTTAGGAATTATGATGTCATGAAGTTTAGAAATTGTGACGTCATAAAGTTTAGGAAATGAAGTTTAGGAATTGAGGTCATGAAGTTTAGGAATTGTGACGTCATGAAGCATTGGAATTGTGATGTCATGAAGTTTAGGAATTGACGTCATGAAGTTTAGGAATTGACGTCATGAAGCATAGGAATTGTTGTGTCATGAAGTTTAGGAAATGTGACGTCATGAAGCTTAAGAATTGTGACGTCATGAAGTTTAAGAATTGACGTCATGAAGTTAAGGAAACTGAAGTTTAGGAACTGTGATGTCATAAAGTTTAGGAATTGTGACGTCATGAAGTTTAGGAATTGACGTAATGAAGTTTAGGAATTGTGATGTCATAAAGTTTAGTAATTATGACGTCATGAAGTTTAGGAATTGTGATGTCATAAAGTTTAGGAATTGTGATGTCATGAAGTTTAGGAATTGACGTCATGAAGTTTAGGAATTGTGATGTCATGAAGTTTAGGAATAGACGTCATGAAGTTTAGGAATTGTGATGTCATGAAGTTTAGGAATTGACGTCATGAAGTTTAGGAATTGGGATGTCATGAAGTTTAGGAATTAAGAAGTCACGAAGTTGTGGAAGGAATTGTGACGTCACATTGTTAATAATCTCGTATTGAATATTTTCCTTTCCTTTCTTTGAAACCTTTGTTTTGTCTTAAATTTTCATTTATATTTTTCTTTTAATTGTTACCAATGCTAAGGATCCGGATCCGTTGGATACCCAAGATTTTGGCTTCCTGGATCCTGATCCGCAAAAATATGCGGATCCACGGATTCAGATCCAAGGGGTAAAATATCAACCTCAACCAAATCTGAATTTTTAAAAAAAGTGAGATTATAAAAATTTCCTCATTTCTTAATAGTTCATCAAGTTTTAGGATAAAAATAAGCGAAAAAAATAAAACAAAATTGGAAAATTATTTTTTGTTAAAAATTCAGTAAATCTTAAAGAAATTTTTTCCAGTGCGGATCTAGGATCCGGATCCGCATCAAAATTAAATGAATCCTAAGCACTGATTGTTACATATTAAGGTTAATGAGAATTCAGTATCTAGTAACGGGCCTGTACATACTAATCCAGAAAATACAAACAAACCTAGGCATACAAACATTCAGGTATTTTGAGAAAATACAAACAAACCTAGGCATACAAACATTCAGGTATTTTGAGAAAATACAAACAAACCTAAGCATACAAACATTCGAAAATACAAACAAACCTAAGCATACAAACATTCAGGTATTTTGAGAATATACTAACAAACCTAGGCATACAAACATTCAGGTATTTTGAGAAAAAGTTATTTCAAGTGAGTCTCCATTTTAAGAGTTGTAAGTCTGATTTACTTGTTCTTCTATCTTATTGATTGATTTTTATTAAATTCTTTTTAAACTTACGTATTTATGCAGTAAATCGAGCATTTAAAACTATATGCAATACTATTTATAAATAGAGTAATTCTTTTGACGTTTCAATGTACGTTTTCATTTTTGTATTATGTAAACAAAGTTATTTTCGTAAAATTTTTAACAGTTAAAAAGTTCTTGTTTCTATTTTATAAATTATTTCTGTGCTAAGTCCTACAAAATATGGGTCCGATCGGTTCAACTGAGGTACAGTCGTCATCGTATACATCAATACAATGAAGACGAATTTTGATTTATATCAAGCTTCTCCACAGCATGGATACAAATATAATACATATAAATATGGAAACAAAGAGAGGCTGTCTTCTCTTCAATTACTTGTAAATTTGTAAATCGAAAAAATTCTTGTAAACAATCAAAACTTAAGATATAAAGTCGTCTTCATTTTATTGATCAAGTGCCGACCACTGTATATTGTATATATCAATGTTAAAATATGGGTCTCATGTATCCCACGCTAAGTGTTTTAGCATCAATTATTCTGTTTACCTTGATTTGATGGTTATTTATTTATTTATCAATATTAAATTCCAGGGGTGGAATATATTTTCCACAGAAATTTCATAAATAACTTTTTTTATTGTCAAGCTACTTTTCATTGCCCTCCTTTTTAATATTCATCTATTTTCTTTTTTTTATGTAAATGCACTTTTTTATATTTTATCAGAGCCAGCTTTCCTATTTAATCCATATACCTACCTACCTACCTACATATTAACCTAATAATGTTCCAGCGAAGTTTGCCAGCGTATGCTCGAGTCAAGCAGAGTAGAGTTCCGAATGCCTATGATAAAACTGCGTTAAGATTGGAGGTAAAGAAAAAATTCTTTAAAGGGACTGTTAACGTATTTTCAATTGACCCTTCTCTAAAAAAAATGCCATTTTTAACAAATCAATATTTAAAGAGTTTATGTTTATCTTAGCCTAAAGTATTCCTGACAAATATCAACGATCCGTCGGAGATACGGAAGCACAAAGGAATGAATACCCCGGTTAAAATAGACTCGTGCTCCGAAACGTATTTAAACCAAATATTTATTAATTGTCCTTGAAAATAAGCATAAAATTTAATTGTCGCTTATATCTTTTTAAACGGCTGGACACATTGTGCAAGTATTATTTCAACTCGCGCTCCGATATGTAATTAACTATGTAACATGTAAATGCTATGTTGGAATTGCAGATTTGTCAATATTGTAAAATATAATGTTATTTAAGTTCATTTAAGATAACTATAAAAAAGAGGACTTATCTCTCAACAGTACTGTAACTCGTCTAGTAACTTCATTGTCCAATTAAGCTAATTTCAATATGAATTTTGGAAAGAAAAATAAAGAGAAAATTTTTTCCTCAAATTAAAGAATTTTTCTAAACCAAAATACAAAGAATGAAAATGTATTACCACGTTATCATCGTACAACCTTTCTTGTAAAAATAATATAAAAAATTATGTATCTTTAAAATAATCTCGATACGGAGATAATAAATATCTAAATATTTAAAGAATAAAGCTAGAATTTAAACTGATTATTCTAACTTCCAAAACTTAATTAAACATTATAAAAAAAACTTTTTAATTATAATTTTCTTAATTTGCTAGGTTGGTGACATTGTCAAAGTTACAAAGATGTCGATTAACGGACAGTGGGAAGGAGAACTCAACGGGAAAATTGGGCACTTTCCCTTTACACATGTAGAGTTTATTGATAGGTATTGCTATTGCATATTTATTAACGTCTAATTATATTAAATGTGATTTTGCATATTTATTAAGATCAATCTGTAATAAATGTGAATTTTATGTTTACTTGCTTGATGTGTATTTCAAAAATATCATTCGCTTTAATGGATTGTTCATCTTTTGATATCCTATTCTATATTCCTCAAAATATTTAAGGATAATTTTTGAAAAAGTTCTTAAAAACCCAGAGAAGTCTTGATTTGCTGGCATTGGCTGGAATAAACTGGGCAAATGTTACATGTAAAAGACTATTTTTTTAAAGTTTGGATAATCTTAGTTGTGTTTTGTATTGATCTATTGATTAATTAATTGATTAATTGATTTGATTGATTAGTAAGAGGATTAGTTTGTTGATTTAGTGCTGAAATAATTAGATCTACTTACTGATTGATCGATTGATTGTATAAATATTTGATTAATCATTTTTGCTGGTTGATTACTTTATGATTAAATGGTTTTTTATAATTGATTGATTGATTAGATGGTATATTTATTGAATTATTGATTGTTTGATCATTTCAGCAGCGAGTCAGGGATGGATGACGGGTCTAACTGACATTACAACTAGGGTTGGAGACCTAGCCAACCCTGCATTCTCACTTCTCAACAATCCGCCATCTTGAATCCAATTCTTAATCTTAGATCTAAATTGTAATCTTGGATCCAATTCTTAATCTTCGATCTAAATTGTTATCTCTGATCCAAGCCTTAATTTTAGATCTAAATTTTCATCTTGGATCCAATTCTTAATCTTGGATCTAAATTTTCATCTTAATGTTGGACTCCAACCACACAAGAATAAAGTGCTAAACACTGAACAAAGTGAATAAAAAACTAGAGTTGGTTCTTGAACAAATAATTCATTTTTTCAAACTCAATCTAAGTCATAAATATCGTGATGTCCCTCCTCCTTCTACAAAATCTATGTATAAAATGTAAAAATTATTTTGAGAAAAATCTGATTTTTTATTGTTCTCTGTTACTTGTAGCTTTTAAAATAATCAAAAGTTAATCATGCTTCAACTTATTATTTTTATAAATGTCATGAATTATTTACTAAGCTTCCACTAGGCTTAATATCATCTTACTTATGAGAAACTATTTTCAAATTTTCACTCCAATTTTATCAAAAATATCTTGTATAAAATTCAATGAATTTAATAGAATTAAAATTTTTATTTGTGAAGTTTAGTACAAACATGTTACTCAAAGAATTAGTTTAAATTGTAATAATAATGAAATAATTCTGTTCTGAAACATAAAAATTATAAAATTTTCTTTATGTTTTACTTTAAATTTGTGTAAATGGGCATGTTGCTAAATTGATAGACTAAAAAATAAACTTACAATTCAGAATTAATACATAAAATTTAAATTATGCCTTTTTCTTTTTGTTTAAAAGCTGAAAAAAATGTTATTAAATAATATTTCGAAAAGAAACAAAGGGGGATGAAAAACACCCCCATATCGTGTTAAGGTTAAATGTCGTATTCATGTTCCACAGAATTCTGGATCACACTGTATGAAACTGACCTAACAGGATGCCAACACCTCCCTCCCCCGTGTTTATTAGAAGTTTAAATTTATAGACATTACAGATAGAACACTAAATGTCGTCTCAAGATTTAGAGGTTTTCGTTCACAATAACCCTGAGGCACGAGCCATAAGGAGTTATGCGCATGCTCTCGGTCTCGTCATTTAAGACGTTATTGTGAAAGAAAAACCACTAAATCTTGAAAAGACGACATCTAGTGTTCAATCTATATTATTATTAATCTATGTTTAAATCTAAAACTGGTTCTTTTTCTAGCTCAATGTTGTTAAACCCCTTTTGTTATTTTTTAGCTAATGAATAAATGTGATTTAATAATACTGCTGGGAATAAATTGATGTATTTAATATTTATTGTTTCTGTTTCTAGAAGGAGTTAAATCCAAAATGCGATCTGGCTCATTTCTGAGTGTTAGAAATGTTCTGCATTTCCCCAAAGGTATTTTTCCAAGAGCAACTTCCCAATTTAAAATTTATCGAGTTACATCTTCTGAAAGGTTAGGCTAGGCGTTCTGGCCGAGCGCGGCGGTAAGGATGAGTTAGATCGAGCGCTGCGGCTTGGACAAACTTGGGAAGTCGCCGCGTGTGAAAATTTGGGAAAGTACCTAACATCTCCCTTCCGCCGTCCTCCCCACACCATGAAAATATTGTAAGCCGCCCTTGGATTCAGTGAACTATTAAGTAATGGGTTAAACAATTGTTCTTAAAATATCTTAGATATTCATAAATTCCTTTTATTCTTTAGTTTCACAAAGTCTTGAGAAAGATTATTAAATAAAATATTCAGTTCCTAGAAGAAACAGTATTGTAAAATTGTGTAAAGTATAATAATCATGCATAGGATTACTCTCAAAAGATTAAACTTTAGAAACGAATGTCGGATAATTGAGTCTAAAACTAAAGAATGCGCGAATTTTAAGTTCGAGGTTAAAAGTTCTGTAAAATAATGAAGAGCTACTTAAATTTTAAACTTTCTCAATTTTAAATTTGAATTTCCCGGGAAAAATCTGAACCAATCAGAGAAAAGGATTTACGGAGAATATTACATAACCATCGCTAATCAGTAACCGAAAACAAAACATACAACCGTTTTTTGGGTTTACATCCAAAAATTAATTTATCTAAAACGTGAAATTTATTTAACAAGGTTTTCACTTTTAAATATATCGTTAAGTTGAATGCCGCTTTCTCAGCTGAATGATGATTGAATAATAGACAAATAGGGAAAATGCAGGATTTCAAGATAATTTAAACCTGTGTTTAAATTTTAACTCATCGATTTCAGCGAGTTAAATATTTAACCACAGGGTTAAATATTTAACCACAGGGTTAAATATTTAACCACAGGGTTAAAGTTCAGGTTTAAATTAAGTCAGAAGTGGCATTTAACCATGAGCTTAAAATCTAAGTCAAAACTTTTCGTTCTTTAGTTTTAGACTTTGGTTAGTCCTATTTCCTTCCATTCAAGGTTCCTTGCAGGCTAAAACTGGCTTAGTTCTGTGCCTGATCAATTAGTAATTATCATAATACTCAATTGAACTTGATTACAGAAACCATGAAGCAAGCTTAAAATAGTCATTTTGGGTTTTGGGTCGTCTTTACAGTCTCCTCCTGTATGGTCAAGCCTGTATCTTCAATCTTGAACGCCTAATCTCGATATTCATTGCGGGCAACTACAATTTCAGGCTAAATGAGAGGTGCCCCTGCAATGTTTATTACGTCAGCTTATAATGATTTAAGTAACATCGTAAAATCAATATCAAACTCTACAACAATGCAAAAGACGCAATGTCTTATTACCGAAAGTATTCCAAATTACAAGTATAGTGAGAGCCAGACAACTCTGAAACAAAAAGACGGTTTATAGGCTCAAGTTTTGACTTTAAATAGCTTAACGAACATAATACACAGCATATTTGCAGTGTAAAAAAAACATTTCACTTAGAGTACAGTGCAACCCTTAATAACGAATACATCGTAAGAGTTTATCAAATGTCATATTCTTAACTTTCTGATAATGGAATGTTGCAGATATTTAGTTTTTTAATGAGATGATTATTTGGAACTCTTTAAAACTGTTACCGAATATTCATGGCTATTTATTTATTTTCGCAAATACTGAAATTTACGTAATATAGTATAAAACTCATTGAAAAATTGTCAAGACGACATTTTATAAATTCTTCCGATGTATTCGATAGAAAGGGTTTCACTGTAAATAATTTATTAAGCTACTTGTAAAACTATTCACTTTGTATTAACATTAAATTCACAAGTATTGATTAAGTGTGGTTTTCCTATTCCACAGTTTTCTAGTTCTCACTGTACTTTATCAAAATTTACGATGAGCAAGTTAGTGATTTAACAACTTCATTTCCACAGAATTCTATTCGCCATTTCGAACAAAATGTTCGTTATTTCCAACAAAATGTGCGCAAATAGCGGACCAATTGTTCGTTATTTCCAACAAAATGTTTATTATTTCGAACAAAATGTTCGTAATATCGGACAAATTGCTCATTATTTAATACAAAATGTTCGCATTATCGGACAAAATGTTCGTTATTTCAAACAAAATGTTAGTTATGTCAAACGAAATGTTCGTTATTTCAAAGACAATGTTAGTAACTTTGAACAAAACGTTCATAATATCGTTATTTCAAATTTTTTGTAATTCTGACTAGAAAAGGGGGTGTTTATATCCCCACCTCCCTCTAGACATAAAGCTAATAATATTCATTATAGCATAGATAGATAGAAAGGCAGTAGACAATGCTTTCCACCTATGAAGTGTATACTATACACTTCATGTATACTAGTGTATATAGTGTATAGTGTTCTAACATATATATATATACAGTTTAAAACTTTTTAATTTGTAAAGAGATCGGAAGGCTTACAAACGGACACGGTACATAATCGTAATTTGTAGTTTTTAGTAAAAAAAATGGATATTTTGGATAAATTCTGTCTTTATTAAACTGACGCATAAATATCTCAGATTTTGCCTCCCAAAAAACTTCTAATTTGAAGGGACCCGGTCCATGCAAAGGTGGCAATTTCCGATTCACAACGGCACCCTTCAATTCTTTGTCTTATTATCAAGTATGAATTAGATGTCAATGATGTTAATTTTTAAACTAATTATTTCAAATTGTGTTTTCTCTACAGGCAAACCGTGTAGGCATTATCAGAGTTAGCCAATTGTAAACGCAATTTCACGTACAGTTCCTTTTGAGCAAGATACTGCAAGTGTACTCCAGTTTATAAATTTTCAGCTAGAAAAGTAAGGATATCTATAGTGATCATTGCTCTGACGAAGGTTTAAATTTGGCACTGTTGTAAATTAGACATGTCAAAATACAGGTTATCTGAGGATATGTATACACATAGGGCTAGGCACATTCAGACTTTTTTCAAGTCGTATATTCACGGCTAAAATCATCAAAAAATCAACTGTTCTTAAAGGGACCGTTCACTTATTTGGGTAATTTCATGGAAAACTAATTAGCTTATTTTTCAAAGATATCTATGACCGGACAAAAAGCCGATTCAACGTATAAAATTTTAGCGGAAAGGTATGATACCTTTGCCTATAGACACTATTTAAACGTTTTTGCAGTAACAACAGCCCAATAAAATCTAGAATTATCATATTTGAATGACATCATGTGTCAGTTATTGTACAATAAATTATAAAAACTTTTGCTTTTAGAATTAACGTTTTTCATGTTCAAACATGATTTAACTAGTTTATACAAAGACGACTTTCTCTCATAGAAAAAAAAACGGTTCCTAAATTCCAACTCATGAATAAATCAAGGGGATTTCTGGGGAAGTAGATAAAACGTGTCAAACCGTTAAATGTTTAAAATAAGCTTTATATTTTAAAAATAGACAATTTGAAAATAATTTGGAAAAAAATTAAAGATATCTATGCAAATACAATTAACTATACTAAACCTTTTTTTAAATCCATGACTATGTCAAAAAGCATCAAACAGTGTCTATGCAAAGGTATCATATCATACCTTTGTGTTGGAGTTCTAAATGTTAAATCGGCTTTTTCTCAGGCCACAGTTGTCTTTGAAAAGTAAGACTAATACCAATTAATAGCTAATAGGCTATTTAGTATACCCTCAAATTACCCCAATAAGTGAACGGTCCCTTTAAGTTAGGAAGTGAACTTTTCGTTGACAATCTTAATTTTAATAACGAACGGAAAATATTTGAGAAATCGTTAATGGTGCTGGTCAAATAGATTATCAAGTAAAATAGGTGGCAACAGAGAAATGGACCAATTATACATGACGTCACAAGTGTCAAATATAACAAGGAAAACGAAATTTTCTCACATTAGTTGATATGTTTTTCAAGATTAAATAAGAAGTGTAAAAACAGAAACTAAAGAACACATCAGATTGCACTTTTTTACTGTTAGAAAAGCACTTTATTCTAAATTTATCACTATTATTAATAGTTTTGTTGTACACTAAAACTGAGTTGACACCTGTGACGTCAGAAGACAGCTGTACTGAGAGTGTACAAATTCTACGTTGCCATCTATCTGGTGCGGTTAATGAATATCTCTTGTAAAAAAAGCTGGAAAATTTGAAGAAAACATTTTAAAACATTAAGATACAGGGTGTCCCACGAAACATGGCAGTTGGTGAATAGTTTAAAATGTCTTCTTTAATAATTTGCCAAATTCTTTGATACCAAACAGAAAGAATAGAAATAGTAAAATTAATTTCAAAGTAAAATATATTCGATTAAAGATTTTTTTAACGAAATAAACTGCAAAAAGTCTTTAATATTTAATATAGTATATGGAAGAAGACATTCACCAACCGTCAAGTTTCGTGGGACATCCTGTTTGTAAAAAAAACATCAAATTACATAAATAATAATGTTCCGTAAGTTTCATGTGCAATTTTAAGTTGAAAAATTTACAATAGTCGCCGCAATTTTGAAACACATCAGATCTTTTTCTTTCGGTCACATTTTTTAAATTATCAGATTTTGCAGTTCCTTTTCGGAAAGTTTCCCAATGCCCCCCCCCCCGTTGTAGACAGACCGTTATTTTAAATATAATATATTAACAAAATATATTCAGCAAACTTACACATGTGTTTGTTTTTAAAAGAAAAATGGAGGCAGCAGATCTTTATTTATCTCGAGATATTTCCAACAAACATCTGATTGAAATCAAGAATACTGAAGACAAGGGAAGGTAATAAAGCAGATCTTTATTTATGTCGAGATATTTCCATCAAACATCTGATTGAAATCAAGAATACTGAAGATAAGGGAAGGTAATAAAGCAGATCTTTATTTATGTCGAGATATTTCCAACAAACATCTGATTGAAATCAAGAATACTGAAGATAAGGGAAGGTAATAAAGCAGATCTTTATTTATGTCGAGATATTTCCAACAAACATCTTATTGAAATCAAGAATACTGAAGACAAAGGCAGGTAAGAGAAGGAAAAACTAAATCACCCAAACTTCGCTAAATTTTAAAGTTGTAAATATCTACTATGCACGTACTATAAGCAGTTTTGTTTTTAATCTTTGTGACAGAAACAATTTCAAGGAATAATAATTGTCTTAAAACATTTTTTTTTTAAAGTGAATATTTGCAAATTATCTTTTTTGCATCTCATAATCTGAGTTCGTTTCCCTTGACAGCCCAAATTTTTATTTTGAATAATCTTTTTTGTTTGTTCATCTTCTTGTGATTTTTTACAATTTCTACAATTTTTTTTTATCGATTTTGATGGTTATTATATCGTTAGAACTGACGAGGGTCAACCCAGACCGAAATATATTTTCAATAAATGTGGAACTAACATCTACTTTTTTTACTCTACAGAGGATTGGTCAATCACCATCACCGAATTTTAAATATTTACAATATATAGTTATTTTTTTCTCTTAAATTATGTTAAAATAAATTTAGAAATACAGTGGTGAACATTGTAAAAATCTTAGAAAATTATCAAGCGGGGTAAAAATAAAAATTAAACCTAATTTAAATATATGTTTTAATGCATATTTTGTTAATAACAAAAATTAAAATATAAATGTTTAAAAAATGAATAACAAAACAAGTAAACTATGGATAACAAATAAATTATTAAAAAACTAAATTTCAATTCAATTTTAATCAAATCTCTCTCAACAACTTTCACTTCTTTATTTTTATGAAGGAATTGAGTCTGACCCTCAAACTCAGATTTTTTCATCCCTAATATCTTTGCAACCAGACGGTGTTAACCTTTGATATTTAAAAATTAGATTTATTAGATTTATCATAATTGATAGTATTAAATATCTAAGGTCAGTGCCATTTTAGAATATATAAAAACTCTACTAAATTCGTACCGTTCCGAAATCATCCTGGTCCTGGGATTAATTCCTCACCAAGATTGGCTATATCTTAGTATTTAAGTATTGATTGAACCACCTGGATAGTTTACAAGTATTTAGTTTTCAGTGTGTCTACGATATTGGGTTGCAAAGATATAAGGATTACAAAATCAGAGTTTGTGAAAAGCACTCAATTATGTTTAGATGTTTGGTGGCTAAAACAGATATCGGAGCAGGAGAAATCATCTTTAAAGAGCTTAGTCTTGTCTGTTCTCCTTCTCCTAGTTCTCCTCCTACCTGCCTAACCTGCTCTAGTCCTGTGACCGGCAGCTATCCCTGTCCTAACTGTGGTTGGCCGATGTGTAATAAGAAATGCGCGCTAAATCCAGTTCACGCCAACCAGGTAAATTCAAGTAACCTTCCATTTGTAAATTGTCGCGTTCGATTTAGAACCCTTTGAACTTTTTACTGAAAAATTACCGTTGTAAATCCTTTTTCCCTTTATAAACGGAGGGTCACTACTCATCTTGAAATTATGTCTAGACTATCTCTTTACGCTAGAGGTGATATAGATATTAGACTGTTTAAGTTGAGTAGATATACAGCTAGGTCCAATATCATATCGGATTATCACCAAGCTTTAATCAGCCAAAATGCGCACATAATGCTTGAAAAAAATAGTATTTTCTGCAAGCTAATTTTTTATCTTTACAGTTTATCAAAATGGTTTAATCATTTTAAATCTTCTGAGTTGAACCAACAATCGCAATTAATAGCTATAAACGATCTTACGTCATTTGTGACACCCTGTAAAATAGAAACAATTGTACAACTTGTACTTTATACCTGTTTCGTAATTGCAATCTACTTGCATGTATTCTATTTAAAATATTAAGGGTAATCCTGAAAATTTAGTTTTTACTTTTTTCTTGTCATCAATAATTGATAGCAAACCGAAGTTTTTGGTACAGGACAATGAATATATATATTTCTTGGTACAGGGAAATGGTATTGGAGGTTGCGTGTTTTTTAAAGAATAGTAAAATAATTTGTTCAATGTTTCGTTTTTTATCTTGCCAATAAAATTGTTTATCATTTTATTCTTACTTTGTCTTTCATTGTTGTTTATTTAATTCAATTTTTTCTGCGTTGTGAAATTCTTTAACAAAAAGGGGAGAGGGGATGACTAAAGATTATGTGAATTACACACTGTTGGAGTTATCACCCTTTTTCTATCATACAATTCCTTATTTTAATTGCGGGTTCTCTGTAAAGTCATTTGCAGATTAATACAATATGGATAGAAAGAATAAAATTTTCAGAAATTACTATGACGATATCTTTCTTATAATACTACTAAAATAAAGGTGCCTTTGTGAATTTAACATTAATAAAATAAGAGTCAACTGAAATTACCTCTACAGTCCCTTTAAGCAATATCAAATTCTTTGTTCGACATTAAATTGAAATAAAATTCAGGAGTGCGCTCTATACCGCAAGTGCCAGGAACAGCTTGACATCTCTACCTGGGATTTTACTGAAGTCCAGCCCTTGTACGCAATCATCCCTGTACTACGCATTCTCTGCCTACCACCAAATCTACGCAAATTACACTCGGCAATGCAGGTTTGGGAGTTCCAATGTACGATGACAATAAGGTTATTTAGTATAAAGCTCTTTAGTGTACGCTATTCAATATACTTATAAAATGTATTATAGGCGTTGAAGTATCACACAAGCGTACGGCATTTTTGATTATTATACTGCTATAGAATCTCCTTTTTTTAAATTTGCAGGGAAAATTGCGCGCAGCTGTTCTCGTATTACGTGGAATTGTGCAAAATTGTGCGTAAATTACAGGACCGTAATTGCGCGCAAGTAAATTCCACTTGCGTTGGAAACATAAGGCAACAGATGTACAATTATTAAATACTAGTCAAGTGGGCGGCCTTTTGCTATGGTTTCTTTATTTTGCATAATTCGCAGATTCTAAACGATCAGTATAAATAAACAGTAAAGAGGGCAACGCTTACAGTCAGCCCACACCCGCGGAATTTTCAGTCGGATACAAGCAGGTTTCGATAAGTTTACACACACAAATCTCTTTACTCGACACACAAAGGTTTTAACTGTTTTAAGGGTACTGTTGTAAATTGCCATCTTTGCATGGAAGGTCACTTGAAATTTCGCTTACAGTCCCTTTAAACTTTTTACACTTTTCAAAGACAAATTTGAAGTGCTGACAAGTATTTAATTTTACGTTTTTGCTTTAAACTTTAAAACTTTAAAATGTGCATCTGAGTAATTTCTTTCAATTACTAACAAGTTTTTACTTTAGAATGATTTGGCAGATTGGAGGAATGATTCTGATTTTTGTGAAAGATTTCAGTAAGTTAGTTAAGAGTATTTGCATTACCTCCGAATGACCCTATGAAGACTTTTCGTGATTTTTTTTGTAAATATTTGCAATGTTTTGCTAAAAAAGGAATTGCTTATTTGCTTCAAACTCAAATTTTATATTTTATAATTTTGCAGACCTATGTTTGAAATATCAAATTTTTACATTATCAGGTTGCAAAGATATAGGGATCAGAAAATTTGAGTTTGTTGCAAAGACTCATTTCCTTTCGGGATTTTTTGTTATTTGAAGAAAAACGAAACGTTTTCCATTAAAAGCAGTCGACTTTCTTTTCCACAGTTTTCTGATCTCATGGTATTTAAGTTTTTAAGGTCGACATTTTTTGGAATAATATTTTATAATGGGCCGTAAAGAAAATTTGCCTGAGTCAATAAATTTTTTTATTTACCCAGCAAACATTTCACCCTGTGTTGTGCTTAAACTTCCCAGGAAACATTTCACGCTGTGTTGTGCTTAAACTTCCCAGGAAACATTTCACCCTGTGTTGTGCTTAAACTTCCCAGGAAACATTTCACCCTGTGTTGTGCTTAAACTTCCCAGGAAACATTTCTACCTGTGTTGTGCTTAAACTTCCCAGGAAACATTTTAATCCTGTGTTGTGCTTAAACTTCCCAGGAAACATTTTAAACGACTATATGTGCCGATGGCGAAGATGTCGGGTAAATAATTCTGGACTTTATTTGTTCGACATTGGTTTGTTGAAGACATGGGGTGAACATCAAAGTCAAATTCCGGACTTTAAGAAGATTGTTGGAGACTGAATTTAAAGTTCGACGGCAAAGCTTTTGAGCAATAATATGGAATGAGAAGTGTTAATGGGACTGAAAACGTAATTTCAAGTGACCCTCCATCCAGAGATGACAATGCCCGATTTACAACAGTACCCTTGAAAGCTTTGTCTGATCAAGTATGAATCAGATTTTAATGTTTTTGTTTCTTTAAACTGTTTACCTTCATTTCTGGTAATTAAAGAAATAAAAACTTTTTAATGTTAGAAAAACGACGGTATCTTCCACCATTTTAATCAGACTAAATAAGGTTCAAGGGTATCGTTGTAAATCGGACATTGCCATTTTTGCATGGAGGGTCACTTGAAATTACGCTTACAGTCCCTTTAATATCACAATATTTAAAATAAAACATTCTTCACGGACGCAATAATACTGAACTGCCAGGTATAGGCAGAGCTGCAGGGAACTGTAGAATTGGATACTCCTAATCCCGATCTCTTAATCTCAATATCCAAAGTGGACACTTTTAATTTCATGCTTTATATGCTCTTTTCTCTCTTTTTTAGATATCCCAACCAGATTCCGACCAATGAGAGTTCTGTCATTAAGTGGCGCGTAAAATTTCAAATTTCCCGGATTTTGATTGGATGAATCTGCATACACCAATCTATTGGTTTAATTTTATTAACTTACTGCAGGATACAAATTTAGAGTTAGATTTATCTTGAGATTAATAAAAAGAGAAGATCAAGCATGGATCTCATTATCCACAAATCTGAAGGATTTGGACAGTTTAAAAACACTTTACATTCTTTATTATTTAGGTCAGCTGTTGATTATCTGGCGTCAAAGCTTAATGTTGGATTAACTACGGAAGAAATTTGGAGGATTTTTGCTGGATCTGTAACTAACGATTTCTCACACTCACATTCACAGGGGAGGGAGGTAATAAAGAACTTTTAGTAATAAAGAATACCCTGAAATTTTCCTAGAAGGGGATGGTTCATTTGGGGTACTGTCCCGTCTTGCCTTATATAGTCTGTGTGTGTACTGTACAGCTTACTATAGCTCCTTGAAAGTTGGCCCGGTATTTCAAAATAATAGAAGTTTACAGTGATACTGAAACAAGAATAGAAACAACAAAAAGTCTTCCTGAAGTATATCTCGGCAGTCGTTTGTCAATTTATTTTTAAAATAAAAATAAAATACCTCTAGCTCTGGTATTTCTATAATGTGATCTCTATATTTTCGACCTAGAAACATACCAAACGAATGCACATCACTACTTGTCCTAAGAATATGAAATATTCTTATTTTCTTTAAAGAATTAATAATAATAATTCTATTCTATTCTCATTAAACATATTAGTATCTGAAATTCATCATAATAATTTTTTCAAAAATAATTTTCTTTAAACTTTATATTTTTCAGTTGGGTTGTGTTTTCCCTCTTGCAGCTTTGATGAACCATTCTTGCTGGCCAAACATCTTCAGGTTCATTTAAAGGGACTGTTCAGGTTCATTTAAAGGGACTGTTCAGGTTCATTTAAAGGGACTGTGCAGGTTCATTTAAAGGGACTTTTCAGGTTCATTTAAAGGGACTGTTCAGGTTTATTTAAAGGGACTGTTCTGGTTCATTTAAAGGGACTGTTCAGGTTTATTTAAAGGGACTGTTCAGGTTTATTTAATGGGACTGTTCAGGTTCATTTAAAGGGACTGTTCAGGTTCATTTAAAGGGACTGTTCAGGTTCATTTAAAGGGACTGTTCAGGTTCATTTAAAGGGACTGTTTAGGTTCATTGAAAGGGACTGTTCAGGTTCATTTAAAGGGACTGTTTAGGTTCATTTAAAGGGACTGTTCAGGTTCATTTAAAGGGACTGGTCAGGTTTATTTAAAGGGACTGTTTAGGTTTATTTAAAGGGACTGTTCAGGTTCATTTAAAGGGACTGTTTCAAGTGACTCTCCACATTTAAAGTTGCATTTCCTATTCACAACGGTACCATTGAAATCTTTGTCTGATGATCTGATCGATATTTTCGTTTTGAAAAATAGTTTTTCTAAAAATGTGAGTTTTAATGAAAGGTTAGTTGAAATTACACTATCACACTTTTTAATGATGTTTTTAATTTAACCCTGTCCCTGCTGGGTACTTGAAAACAGTGGGGGGCGGCCCTCTATAAATTCAATGTTATAAAGCTTAAAATTTTCAAAATCCGACAACTGAAAGTGGGTCAAAACAAAGATTTACTATGTTACAGAAAAAAGGAGTCATTCAGGCAGTGACTTGAGGACTCAGGCAGTTAGTGTATAAGCCCGGTTTTAGAGGCTTAAAGGGAGGGCTATGAATATTTAGGAATATTTAACAGCCTCAGACAAAACCTTTTTGAGTTATGTTGACAAAATTACAGGGGATGATCAAATTGACCCCCCCCCCCTCCCAGCAGGAATAGGCTTGAAGACTTTTTTTAAACGTGTACTTTATTTTTCGTGAATTTATCAAATCTGGTACTGCCGTCGCGTTGGTACAAACCACAAAACAAGTGGAATGCAAAATAAATATTAAATTTTTTCAGAAAAAATATTTCGGTTGGAAATTTTTATCCAATGAATGAATTTAGATCAAGTATGGAAACGGATAAAGGAGCTGTCATGACAGTTTCAGCTTCAAGGAAAATACAAAAGGTCAAATATATTTTGCAATTGAACCCCCCCCCCTTCCCCCCCGCGCATATCTCCTTCTGATTATATTTAGCTATCTACCAAGTTCCAAACATGGACTAGTATAATCACGAGATTACATAAAATTAAAAGTAACCAATCTCTGGCAATTTTGAACGCACAAAAAAGGCAGACCACATTTTGGAAATGGCTAGACTAGGGCTATCTCGTGATTATAGTTGATTATAAACTAATTCCGGCTGTTTCTGATTAGGACTGTAGTGTAGTATAAATTCGAAAAATCAATAAACAATCAAAACTTAGAGAAAAAGGTCGTTTTCATTGTATTGATATAATCGCCAAACATTGCAGTTTAATCACGAGAGTTTTCTCATTGTCAGAAGGGGAAGTGCGGGCTCAAGGATAACTTTTCCCCAGGGTTTCCAAATTAAATGAGAAATTGAACATTTTTTGACCAACCAGGACATCGTTCAATATGGAGAAAACTTATTTAATTGATGATTTTGCAACCTTTATATATTTTTTATTCCAGAAAACTGTGAAATAGAAAGACGACATTGTTACATATCAAATGAATTTACTACAGGGTGTCCCACGAAACATGAAAGTTGGTAAATAATTTTATATGTCTTCTTCCATAATTTGTTGAGTTCTTTGATACAAAAGAGAATAATAAGAAATATAACATAGGAGTAATTGTGTAGTAAAATTGATTTTAAATAAAAATATTTTTGATCAAAAGATTTTGTTAACAAAATAAAGTGCAAAAAGTGTTTAATATCTATTATAATATACGGAAGAAAACATTTAAAACTATTCGCCAACCGTCGTGTTTCGTGGGACACCCTGTATTTAAATTACTAGTAGCTTAACATTCCTTATTACGTTAAATGGACCTGTGTTACTAAATATAGTACAATTATGTTCTTTGGACCGTTAAAATTCATAATTTGAGTCTAAAAGTCGTCTTTCTATTCCTCAGTTTTCTAGTTCTCACTGTATATATTACAGGGTGAGGAGATATTTAACAGTTACATAGATATTCTTCAGCCAACAATTCTACGGTCTATTCTCCTCAAACAAACAAAACAATTTCAGTGCAGGTTAAAAACTTATTTATGATGTCTGTTTTAGTTTCATGCCAAAAAAAAACACTTTTTTATCAACATATTTTATAATTTTTTCGTACTTCTCCCCCCTTCACCCCTCCTCCTAACGGTCGTCTTTAGTCTTTGTAAAGTAGTCTTCGTAGTTTACACCCAATACTCGATTCTTATTGCTCGACAATTCTCTCTTACTTTATTACAACTAAAGATGTCGATCATTATACAGTGGTTATTTTTTTGTTTTGTTTTTAAACTTTAATAAGCGTTGAGACGGTTGAGGGATTTGCCCAAGAATCTGCAGCAATGGTTTTCATAATTTAGAATTAAAAATAGATAAGTTTGTTTCTACGTAATTGCGAAACTTATATAAAAGGGCAAAACAAAAAGTAACATGACTATTTATTATGTTGTTTTGATGACTAGATTTAACAAATTGTTTTGTCAAATTAAGATGTTTTAGAATTTAGAAATTCGTAACACAATTAAGATTCTTCTTAAAGCATTTGAATATAAAAAACAAACAATTATGCCCATGCTTAGATGTGTTCGGTGTGAAGACGACCTTGATCTAGGATTAATTATGCTTAGATGTGTTCGCTGTGAAGACGACCTTGATCTAGGATTAAATGGCAACGCTGTCATCTGTCCGTTCTGTGTCAAGGTAAGACGGCATAAAGGAACCATTACAGGCACCCTCCATTTGCAGAGTGTTCAGTTCACAACGGTTCCCTTTGTCTGTTTTGCTTTTATTACGTTTATGCAAAATTTTTAATCTAGCCCAGAGATATCCACCAAAACGATTTTTAAAAATGATTGGTAAAATCTTTTTTGTTAAATCGTTATGGTTAATATCTTTGGTTAAAGAAACAATTTTGTTTAATGTATAAACTAGCAAACTTATGGAAAATCGGATATTTGTCAAACATCTCACCTTTAGAGCACATGTAGACATCTTGTATGTTTAGAGCACATGTAGACATCTCAGATACTTTTAGAGCACATGTAAAGCCAAAAATTTTTGTATGTTTCGAGCACATGTAAAGCCAAAACATATTACATGTTTAGAGCACATGTAGTGCCAAAACATCTTGTATGTTTAGAACACATGTAAAGCCACGACATTTTGCATGTTTAGAGCACATGTAGTGCCAATGTTTAGAGCACATGTAAAGCCAAAACATCTTGTATGTTTAGAGCACATGTAAAGCCAATACATCTTGTATGTTTAGAGCACATGTAAAGCCAAGACATATTTCATGTTTAGAACACATGTAGTGCCAAAACATCTTGTATGTTTAGAGCACATGTAAAGCCGCCAAAACATCTTGTATGTTTAGAGCACATGTAAAGCCAAAACATCTTGTATGTTTAGAGCACATGTAAAGCCAAAAAATTTTGTATGTTTCGAGCACATGTAAATTCATAACATCTTGTATGTTTAGAGCACATGTAAAGCCAAAACATCTTAAGTATGTTTAGAGCACATGTAAAGCCAAGACATATTTCATGTTTAGAGCACATGTAGTGCCAAAACATCTTGTATGTTTCGAGCACATGTAAAGCCAAAACATCTTAAGTATGTTTAGAGCACATGTAAAGTCAAGACATATTACATGTTTAGAGCACATGTAGTGCCAAAACATCTTGTATGTTTAGAGCACACGTAAAGCCAAAACATCTTGTATGTTTAGAGCACATGTAAAGCTAAAACATCTTGCATGTTTAGAGCACATGTAAAGCCAGTGCCAAAACATCTTGTATGTTTAGAGCACATGTAAAGCCAAAACATCTTGTATGTTTAGAGCACATGTAAAGCCAAAACATTTTATAGTTTTGAGCACATGTTAAGCCAAGACATCTTGCATGTTTAGAGCACATGTAAAGCCAAGACATCTTGCATGTTTAGAACACATGTAAAACCAAAACATCTTGCATGTTTAGAGCACATGTAAAGCCAAAACATCTTGCATGTTTAAAACCGAGCTCATAAAAATCCACAGTAACGTTCTTGTAAGTGTTGATAACTTTGTATATAAAAATTATTATTCTTTATTTATTATTTTCTGGGAGTCACAGGTTATTAAAATTCATATTTCAATTCTCAAAAAATGCTTTGGACTTGGAATATACGGGATATTTAAAAACATATGTGAAGTCATTTGTACTGTACCTAAATATCAGTAGAAGTGGATAACTCATTTGGTGTACCGTCCCGATTTCCTCATATATAGTCATTGTGTATTTAAGACCATTCCTTTCAACATCCCATTGGTCGACCACATGACGTCTCTTAATTATGGTCGTACAAATTATCTTTTTATCAAATAAGAATTTGGCGTGAGACATCTGGCGGCCAAACTATCGTCCTCCAAAATAGGACCCTTGTTCATACATTATTAGAGAGAGAACGGGCTCTGTACAGCTCGTACAGCTTGCACAGGAGTGACTGTATATTGTACATACACTAGAAAAGTTTGTTCACCATTTTTTCACGGATTTCTTCGCAAGCGAAGGACATGCAGTGATAATTAGAAAACTCTGAAATATGAAGACGACTCCACAACTTTAAAAAATCCAATTAGGATGAGACACAGTAATTGTGAGGTGTTAACAGACCCATTTCACTAAACTACGCATTTGATAAGTGTCTAGTAAAACTATTTGCCCTTGTAACATCAAATAACTCAATTTTGCTATAATGTCGTCTTCCTTTTCTATTGTTTTCTGGTTATCACTGTGGTTTTAAGAGTATCGTGAATCTAAATGGCGGTTTATTTGAAATTAAGGATACCATTACTTCAAGAAAATGGCCTTTATCTCATATGATACTTTTTAGGGAACTTGCTTACCAAGCAGTACAGTACAGTGTAGTACAGTACAAACATGGGCCTGTACATCATGCTCAAAAACAATCCCAATAAAAAAGGTAAAAATTATTTCTTAAAAAACATATTTAAAAAAATCTTAATCATTTTATTTTACAGATGGAAGAAATGATTATTTGGATTGATGAAAAATTGAAAAAAGTTCTCTCATCCTCTCCCCAAACTAAAATTTCAAAATTGGGTAAATACTTGAATATTGTAACAACTAGAAATGCATGATTGCGAAGTCCTACATTTTACAAGATAATTTTTCAAATTTTTATGAATTCAAAGAAAAAGTAGTTTTCAAGTCTATGGACAAGTCTGACGTTTGAAGCTAGCAGTTATAAAAAAATACTTTTATTTCAGAAAAGTTTATCACTGAGTACTCAAAGAAACTAGGCGGTCAGAATATGGTCATCATCCGGTAAAATTTTAAATTTGGAAAACAAATTTCTGAATAAAAATGAAATTTTTGTTCAGGGCCAAATACAACCTTATCGGAATGTATGGGCGGCTCCCTGGTTTTACGCAACAGGTGAACCAAATATCTTGAAGTTCGACTTAAATCTTTGGAATAACTTTCGGCAATTATTCGTAAATCTTATTTTAAAGTAAAATTTGAAAGTAAATAATCACTAACCCAGGGGGCGGAAACGTCATGTATGTGTGTTTGTACCAAAAGAGTGTGTGTAAGTAATAACGAACCTAAGACGTGTACTGTAGGTATATAGAGTACATAAGAATCTCGGTATTTTTACGTCTATGAGAGTACATTTGTTTATTGTTAATTGTTTACATTTAAAATTAGTTTAATATACATGTAATATATTATCTAATTAGGTCAACACATATAAGCCAAATTTTCATGCAAAGAATATAATTTGATTAAAGTTTACAATAAACTACTCATTATTCAAGCTTAATTATAATTGACGACATTGTTCTGCAATTTCCTTGACTGTAGTCATGTTGTTTGTCTATACCAAAAGAGTGTGCGTGTGTAATAACGAACTCGTCTGCGACTGGTTTTCTCATGCCAGACCAGCGCCATTTCCCTTCCCTTTATTATTATTCCACGCTAAAAACCCCTAGTCTATTATTACTGAAGATTGGAAGAATGTTGTTCAGATTTCGACAATATCTATTTTATTTGATAAAATTAAATCTGAAAGAAATTCTTAATATCTCCGGTAATATTGACAGCACAAGAAAGGCAGACCACATTTTGGAAATTCTCGGACTGGTAGATTTTGGTGGTTATAATTTCAAGTATTCTAGATGTAGACATTTTTATACATTACTTCTATAATATCTATTCTAAAAGATCGGGGTAGCGCCAGGTCATTTTCAATATTCATCTGCGAATCCAAAGGCTTGAAGGACATTTCGCAAGGCTCATGGCATCCCTGCATCCCATCCCTAACAAAACTTATAAAATTAAAAAAAGGGACAATTTTCATGCATTTATTTGTCTTGTCTGTTCTAAACTAAAATTAATATTTCAGGAATTTGAAGCAAAAGCTTTTGTTGTAATTTAAAGTGGTATTCTTTATTTGTGCGAATCACTTTTGCTCAGAAACCCCAAATAACAATGGTTTTAAGGAATTGTACATAAAACGTTATCGATGGGGTCGGTCACTTGAAATTTTGTTTGTTGAAAATTAAAAAGCACCAAATGATTTCTCTTTTTGATTTAAACCCAAATACTTTTCATTAGATGTTAATTGGGCCAAGCATATTAAGGATAAGGAACAAAAAATGACGAAAATTCCGTTAAGGAGTAATAATTCACGTTTCTTCAACTTACTGTTAATGGAAAAATCGCAAAAGAGAAAAACATGCCTAGCCTAGTTTGTACAACATGCCTAGCTCTAGTTTGTACAACATGCCTAGCCCTAGTTTGTACAACATGCCTAGCCTAGTTTTTACAACATGCCTAGCTCTAGTTTGTACAACATGCCTAGCCCTAGTTTGTACAACATGCCTAGCCTAGTTTGTACAACATGCTTAGCTCTAGTTTGTACAACATACCTAGCCCTAGTTTGAACAGCATGTCTAGCCCTAGTTTGAACAACATGTCTAGCCCTAGTTTGTACAACATGTCTAGCCCTAGTTTGTACAACATGCCTAGCCCTAGTTTGTACAACATGTCTAGCCCTAGTTTGTACAACATGCCTAACCCTAGTTTGTACAGCATGCCTAGCCCTAGTTTGTACAACATGCCTAACCCTAGTTTGAACAACATGCCTAGCCCCTTGTTTGTACAACATGCCTAGCCCTAGTTTGTACAACATGCCTAGCCCTAGTTTGAACAGCATGTCTAGCTCTAGTTTGTACAACATGCCTAGCCCTAGTTTGAACAGCATGTCTAGCTCTAGTTTGAACAACATGCCTAGCCCTAGTTTGTACAACATACCTAGCCCTAGTTTGAACAATATGCTTAGCCCTAGTTTGAACAACATGCCTAACCCTAGTTTGTGCAACATGCCTAACCCTAGTTTGTACAACATGCCTAGCCCTAGTTTGTACAACATGCCTAGCCTTAGTTTGTACAACATGCCTAGTCCAAGTTTGTATGAATTGCCTAGCCCCTAGTTTGTACAACATGCCTAGCCCAAGTTTGTATGAATTGACTAGCCCAAGTTTGTATGAATTGCCTAGCCCAAGTTTGTATGAATTGCCTAGCCCCTAGTTTGTACAACATGCATAGCCCCTAGTTTGTACAACATGCCTAGCCTAGTTTGTACAACATGCCTAGCCCTAGTTTGTATAACATGCCTAACCCTAGTTTGTACAGCATGCCTGGCCTAGTTTGTACAACATGCCTAGCCCTAGTTTTTACAGCATGCCTAGCCCTAGTTTGTACAACATTCCTAGCCCTAGTTTGTACAACATGCCTAGACCCTAGTTTGTACAGCATGCCTGGCCTAGTTTGTACAACATGCCTAGCCCTAGTTTTTACAGCATGCCTAGCCCTAGTTTGTACAACATTCCTAGCCCTAGTTTGTACAACATGCCTAGCCTAGTTTGTACAACATGTCTAGCCCTAGTTTGTACAACATGCCTAGCCCTAGTCTGTACAACATGCCTAGCTCTCTTTTGTACAACATGCCTAGCCTAGTTTGTACAACATGCATATCCCTAGTTTGTACAACATGCCTAGCTCTCGTTTGTGCAACATGCCTATCCTAGTTTGTAAAACATGCATAGCCCTAGTTTGTACAACATGTCTAGCCTAGTTTGTACAACATGCATAGCCCTAGTTTAACAACATGCCTAGCCTAGTTTGTACAACATGCATAGCCATAGTTTTACAACATGCTTAGCTCTCGTTTGTGCAACATGCCTATCCTAGTTTGTAAAACATGCCTAGCCCTAGTTTGTACAACATGCCTAGCCCTAGTTTTTACAGCATGCCTAGCCCTAGTTTGTACAACATTCCTAGCCCTAGTTTGTACAACATGCCTAGCCCTAGTTTGTACAACATGCCTAGCCCTAGTTTGTACAACATGCCTAGCCCTAGTTTTTACAGCATGCCTAGCCCTAGTTTGTACAACATTCCTAGCCCTAGTTTGTACAACATGCCTAGCCTAGTTTGTACAACATGCCTAGCCCTAGTTTGTACAACATGCCTAGCCTAGTTTATACAACATGCCTAGCCCTAGTTTTACAACATGCCTAGCTCTCGTTTTTGCAACATGCCTTTCCTAGTTTGTAAAACATGCATAGCCCTAGTTTGTACAACATGCCTAGCCTAGTTTGTACAACATGCCTAGCCCTAGTTTGTACAACATGTCTAGCCCTAGTTTTTACAGCATGCCTAGCCCTAGTTTGTACAGCATTCCTAGCCCTACTTTGTACAACATGCCTAGCCTAGTTTGTACAACATGCCTAGCTCTAGTTTGTACAACATGCCTAGTCCTAGTTTGTACAACATGCCTAGCTCTTGTTTGTACAACATGCCTAGCCTAGTTTGTACAACATGCCTAGCCCTAGTTTGTACAACATGTCTAGCCCTAGTTTTTACAGCATGCCTAGCCCTAGTTTGTACAGCATTCCCAGCCCTAGTTTTTACAACATGCCTAGCCTAGTTTGTACAACATGCCTAGCCCTAGTTTGTACAACATGCCTAGCCCTAGTTTGTACAACATGCCTAGCTCTCGTTTGTACAACATGCCTAGCCTAGTTTGTACAACATGCATAGCCCTAGTTTTACAACATGCCTATCCTAGTTTGTAAAACATGCCTAGCCCTAGTTTGTACAACATGCCTAGCCTAGTTTGTACAACATGCCTAGCCCTTGTTTGTACAACATGCCTAGCTCTCGTTTGTACAACATGCCTAGCCTAGTTAGTACAACATGCCTAGCCTAGTTTGTACAGCATGCCTAGCCCTAGTTTGTACAACATGCCTAGCCATAGTTTGTACAGCATGTACAGTCCTAGTTTGTACAACATGTACATTCCTAGTTTGTACAACATGCCTAGCCCTATTTTGTACAACATGCCTAGCCCTAGTTTGTACAACATGCCTAGCCCTAGTTTGTGCAGCATGCCTCGCCCTAGTTTGTACAACATGCCTAGCCCTAGTTTGTACATCATGCCTAGCCATAGTTTGTACAACATATACAGTCTTAGTTTGTACAACATGTACAGTCCTATTCCTAGCTTAGTATCATGTGTTTGACTTATATTAAAATTCTCGACTCGTAAAAATCGAACTTAAGTTAATCGGGTTTAGAAAATAATGTATTATAAAAGATTTTTTTAATTTTACAGAAAATACATTAGAGAAATTATCAAAACTATTGAATAGGATACAGAAGAGGATTCTGATGTTGTTGTAGTTATAATAATGGTAGTGGTAGTAGTGGGGGTGGTGGTAGTACTGGTGGTGGTGGTAGTGGTAGTAGTGGGGTTGGTGGTAGTGGTAGTTCTGGTGGTAGTGGTAGTTCTGGTGGTTGTGGTGGGATTATTTGCTGTTGTATCTGTGGTAACATCTGCAGTTGTATCTGTGGAATAATCTGTTGTACCATCTGTGGTTGAATCAGTGTGGTCAGCTGTAGTAGAATCAGTGGTATCATCTGTGGTAGATTCTGTGTTATCGTCTATGGTAGTATCTGTGGATTCATCTGTTGTAGATTCATTGGGACCGTCTGTGGTAGTTTCTGTGGATTCATCTGTGGTCGATTCATTGGGACCATCTGTAGTAGACTCAATGTGACCATCTGTGGTAGTTTCTGTGTTATCGTCTGTGGTAGTTTCTGTGTTATCGTCTGTCGTAGTTTCTGTGTTATCGTCTGTGGTAGTTTCTGTGGATTCATCTGTGGTAGGTTCATTGGGACCATTTGTGGTAGATTCATTGGGACTATTTGTGGTAGATTCATTGGGGCCATCTGTGGTAGATTCATTGGTATTATCTGTGGTAGATTCATTGGGACCATCTGTGGTAGAATCATTGGGACCATCTGTGGTAGATTCATTGGGACCATCTGTGGTAGAATCATTTGAACCATCTGTGGAAGATTCATTGGTATTATCTGTGGTAGATTCATTGGGACCATCTGTGGTAGATTCATTGGTATTATCTGTGGTAGATTCATTGGGACCATCTGTGGTAGATTCATTGGTAATCTGTGGTAGATTCATTGGTATTATCTGTGGTAGATTCATTGGGACCATCTATGGAAGATTCATTGGGGCAATCTGTGGTAGAATCATTGGTAACATCAGAACTAGATTCATTGGGACTATCTTTGATAAAATCATCTGTGCTAGCACTAAGTTTTGAGTTGAATGTATTAATTGGATTGGCTGTAGTGAAAGCAACCGTAAAAGCTGCAAACACAACAATGATCCTAACATCAACCATATTGCTCTTGTTGTGTTTTTTAACTAATGCTTAGTTCAATTGTTTATTTATTATATAGACTTCTTATCTGAAATATCCCATGTTCATATTACGGATATAAAAATCAATTAGCATATTATTCAGCACTAAATAAATATAGGATTTCTTTGTAAAATACAGTTTCCGACAAATTATAAAAACTTATAGGTAAAGAGTAATAAATATATAAATATGTAAAAACAATCTTTTTATGAAATGTAAAAAATGATTATTTAGGAGAAACTTTATATGATGTTGAATTATGAGTAGTTTTTTTTTTCTTTGGTTAGTTAGCATTCAAACTTTTTTTATACTTTTGAGAGGCTTCTCATGAATTTGAGATTCTGTTAAAAAATTTTTTAGTAATAAACGATATGGCCACCGTTCTTGTAATCACAGGAATTTTGTTTTATTGGTCTAATAAAGATAATAGTATAATGTCCTGCATTCTGTCGATAAATTTATTGTTTTGTTTTTTTAAATTATCAATCATAACATGTTTTGTAATTTTCTACAATACTACATCAAAAGAAATTGCGAATTACAAAACTTAAAGGGAAGATAGCAATGTCCGATTTACAACGGTACCCTTAAAAGTGACTTGATTTATTGCTTATAGAAGCAATGGAAAAACTCACAAAAATAAACACTTTTGAGTGAGAAAAACAATTGAATCTTTCACATTGTTTATCAGATAAAGGTTTCAAGGGAACCGTTGTTAATCGGGCATTGGAATCTTCGCATGGAGGGTCACAGAAAATTAAGCTTACAGACCCTTTAAAGGGACTGACTGGCTATGTAAGATAGTTAAACTGAGTATTCAGTGTTGTTGACTAATTCTTTAGGATTCATTTGAGACATATAAAATTTTTTGAAGATCTGTAAATCCTGAGTTTGAGCGCAAAGTCGACGTTCAAAATCGTAGTTTTCAGAATTATTTTTTTAAAATTATCAAATAACGACGACAACAAATGTAAAGAAAATTAATCTTATCATTGAAAATTAGTAATCTTGTTCAATTATTATGCAAAAAGATTTTCTGCAGATTTTCTGGAATTATTATTGAAAAGACGACATATGAAGAATTTGTAGAAATCTGCGAACAAATTAATAGAAAATAAGAATTTCAATTTTAATGATGAAAATTAAATAATTGATTCAAGCATTGATTTATTGACAAATTTCTTTTGAGAAATATGTTCTTAGCCATCTAATTAGTTTACTGTATAATTTTTACTTTATTTTTCGTCGTCGTTATTTAATAATTTTAAAAAACCGATTCTGAAAACGTATCCATCCAATTTCATAATTTTGAACGTCAACTATGCACTCAAACTCAGAAATTATACATCGTGGAAAAGTTTTATATGTCTCAAATGAATCCTAAAGAATTTATTAACATAACTGCATACTCAGTTTAACTACCTTACATAGGCGGTCTGTCTCTTTAAGTAAAAGAGGTAGAGTGAAGATTACAATCATTCTTCAGTTTTCTGGTCCTCCTTCTGAAAAAAAAGGTTGCGTCGTTTTTTACATCTTTTTACAGGTTCTCGATCTTCCCATGTAAAAAATAAAACTTGAAGTAATAAACATAGTTTTTGTTAATTTACGTTTACTTGAAACACACACATTTTTCAATTAAACTATTTAATAAAAATGTTTAATAAAACTGCCCGTTTAATCTAAATATCTTGAACAATAAACCAAATAGTTTGGGAACCCAGTATTGCCTGGAGAGAAGTAAAACCTAAAAAATCACTCTCTTCAGCTGAAACTTTAAACCAAGCTATAAACATTCCCGTCGTGCTTCCGAGTTCGACAATACAAATTTGAGGCAAATGTCGGATTTACATACAAAAAAACAAACAAACACCCATGACAAACAAATTAGTATTACTACGACTGTACGTTCCTCTTACATGTATGCCGTATGGGTTTACTGTTTCTGAAACCTACGGGGTGACCCACGAAACATGACAGTAGAATGACGACTTGAAAGTTGTTTTTGATTTTTGATATAATTTGTCAACCTAATTGTAGAAGTAACATTCTAAAGTTAATAATCACAAAACATCCCTTGAATTTAGAATTTCCAAAATGTGGTTGTCTTTTTTGTGCTTTCAAAATTACACAAAATCTGAAAAATCTCGTTCAGCTATCGACAATTTTCGTTTTATTCAACAGAATTGAAATCTGAGCAAAATTCTTAACATCTCCGGTAATATTGAATATTGAATATAGCACAAAACGGCAGACTACATTTTGTAAATACCAGGACTAGGCGAATTCAATTGGGTTTTAGGCTGATAGTCACAAATAAATATCAAAGACGACTTACAAGTCGTCTGGCTACTGCCTTGTTTCGTGGGATACCCTTGATAGAACATTTAATAAATTATCAAAGGACTTTAAGGACCAATGACAAAATTCAACTGTAATCTAAAGTACTTGGCTTGTCTGAACCCAATAATTATCAAAACGGTTGAACCAAACCGGGCTCACGTTTTTGTTGAAAGTCTTCTGACCCCAGAGTGTTTATGACTGGTAGAATTAAAAAATGTTGCCCGGGAAAAATGTCGACATTTTTTAAAAGAATCCTCGAAAATTGGTGTTTATTGGGGAACGATTCAATAATGATGATTTGAAAAGAAACAGTTAAATGCTAAAAATGTTAAGAGAAAAAAACCTACTACTTGTAAATATTTAGAGAGTTTTAGATAGTCTTTTAAAACATTTTTGTCAAGACGACATTTGATAAATTCTTCCGATGTATTCGTTATTAAGGGTTTCACTGTATAATAGGCCAAAACGAGAAACAAAAAGCTAAAAACGAAAATGTTTTTGCAATGTTTTTGGAATGGTTTTGCAATGTTTTTGGAATGTTTTTGTAATGTTTTTGCATTGTTGATTTCTGTTGAGTCAAACATTTGCATAGCTTACTAAAAACAAACTGTTAGTTCAAACAATTTAGATTTTGATAAACATAAAAAATTCTTGAAGTGACTCGCAAAAAACCTTAAATTGTTAAAAATGGAATTTAATGAAACTTAAGTTAGAAATCAATCGAGATTTTTTATAACCATTTTGTACTTTATAATTCATGCCCAGATTATGCTTTTTTTCTTATAGTATATTCTTTAATGTTAGATTAGCTGTCTATGTAAGTACTGTGCTATAAAATTTAATTGTTCCTGTATTTACTCAAAAAATAAAAATTATAGACTAATCAACTTTGCAGTACATTCTCCGCAAAGGATTATGGTAAAATATTGCTTGCATTATTGTTTCGTTAGGGATAGAGTAAAGGATAGAGTAAAGGATATAGTAAAGGATAGAGTAAAGGATAGAGTAAAGGATAGAGTAAAGGATAGAGTAAAGGATAGAGTAAAGGATAGAGTAAANACAGTATGTAGTAAACAGCATGTTGATTGTAGACAGCATGTAGATTGTTTACAGAATGTAGATTGTACTATATAGCATGTAAATTGAAGACAGCATTTAAATTGTAGACAGCATTTAAATTGTAGACAGCATGTAGATTTTATACAGCATTTAAATTGTAGACAGCATTTTGATTGTAGACAGCATGTATATTTTAGACAGCATGTACTTAGATTGTATTGTAGAAAGCATGTAGATTGTAGACAGCATGTAGATTGTAGACAGAATGTATATTGTAGACAGCATGTATATTTTAGACAGCATGTACTTAGATTTAGATTGTAGACAGCATGTAGATTGTAGACAGCATGTATATTGTAGACAGCATGTATATTGTAGGCAGCATGCAGATTGTAGACAGCATGTATATTGTAGACAGTATGTAGTAAACAGCATGTTGATTGTAGACAGCATGTAGATTGTTTACAGAATGTAGATTGTACTATATAGCATGTAAATTGAAGACAGCATTTAAATTGTAGACAGCATTTAAATTGTAGACAGCATGTAGATTGTATACAGCATTTAAATTGTAGACAGCATTTTGATTGTAGACAGCATGTACTTAGATTGTAGAAAGCATGTAGATTGTAGAAAGCATGAAGATTTTAGATTGCATGACGATTAAATAGTCTGCGCTTGAGGTTGAGGATGAGATGAGGCTGAATAAGGAGACCTCTAGGAGGATATGCATGTCAGCTAAATACTAGATTAAATAGATTTGGATAGCAAAGGTGTAGGAGTTGGACGTCTGTGTAGAACCCAAACTGAGGGCGGAGAGGACCTAGGAGGAATGACACAGGAAATGGAACATGTGAAGCAAAGGTCGACTGCCTCTGCTGCCTTTCAGACCACAGGGTAGAGTCAGAGAAACTAAACAAACCATGTGCTTAAAAAATTGTTGTAAGTAAATAAGGTGAACTGCTTACCTTCTAATAGGAACCAAACAGATCAGATGCATCCATAGCAACAATGAGCGGGGCGTGAAAGGAGCCAGTTCAGCACTTTGCCTCTGGATGATATCGTTGACTTTCACGATAAAGGTTAGGAATTGTAAAATTTTAGGCTTCTAGGAGCTCCACAAGTGAATGTCCTGTTACAGTTTTTCATTAAAAAAAAACGATAAGGAAGCAGAAAACCATACTCAAGTATTCCTGATGGGTAGAAAGATGTTTAAAATTCCATTATCCTGCACTGCGTTCCATGGAAACCAAATGGAAGATGCATACTCAGAGAAGTAGAAGTATATGTTTAATGTTTATCAAAAGAAGAACAATAAGAATAAGTAAGGATTCAAATGGGAAGCCATTAAAACCACCACAAAGGAGAAGAACAAAAATAATGAAACTATGTTTTAACTGAACGAACAGTTTTATTAAAATCTTTTGGTATAATTTTGACACAGTTTTATATCAATTTCACGAGACAGGAACATCAAAAGAACTCTTATATGTCTCAATCATCTCCTGAGATTCTCAGGTTTCAACCTATACCCCCTTTCATTTTTCCTTTCCAGTGCTTTACAGTGCTTTTACAGAAAAGACATTTAGAAAAAGTGTAAACGTGCCCCCAGCCCAACTCCCAACTAGTCATGTGTGCATATAAGTACAAAAATACACTCAGCATTTTTTTCATAATTTGATTTTATTCAATCATTAGGTTATTTTTTTTCATCATTTAAAGTGTTTTAGCAAGTTTGGTTCAAAGAATTTGTTTCTCTGTTGGCTTTTAACTATATTGTTACACACAAAGTAAAGGATAATGTGAACATTTAAAAATTTTGAAAAAATTACTTCTTATCATTCATAAGGTTAAGAATTTAATCCTCCTCAATAAAATTTACGTGCTATTTTCTTTAATAAGTGTAATTTAGAGTTATTTTCTCTTCAAAAATGACGTAGATCTTTTTACGAGCAAACTTGTGGAGGTTTACATTACAAAGTAAGAAAAATAACATGTTTGCATTAAATAAAATAGATAATTAATTTTCTTGCGGCGATCAACAGGTTATTTCTAAATGTGATAGCAATTAAGCTTTTGTACAATACATACATTATGTATAATACATACAGAGCGTCATGTTAGATTATCTCCAAGCTTTAACGCCAAAATACAACCATAATACTCGAAAAAAACTAGTATTTTTCACAAGAAAATTCTTATATGAGCCTTATTCAATTTTACAAAATGATTCATTCTTTTTTGATAAGTCCCGAAAATCGTAGTTTAGACAGATTGACGGTCTAATATGATGTAGGACACCCTGTATACTGCAGCATACTTAATGAGAACCAGATAACTCCGGAGCATAAAGATATTCCTTGTGCATTATTATCTGCTTTTGATATTGTTAGTTTTCTAGCAGTAGCTTGAAAATCCACTTACTAGCCCTATCCCTGCTGGGGTACTGGAAAACCTGGATACGCAGGATAGGACCCCCCCCCCCCCTTCTAAATCTCATGTTTTATTTCCAAATATGACAAATGATACATAATTGGAAAGCTCGAATGCCCAACTTTTAGAATCTGAAAAAAATTGCAAATTTGCCAAAATTGATTTTTTTGCAAAATCAAGATTAATATTAAAAATGTTTGCAAAAAATATGTCCAAAAAATGATAAAATTAACATTTTTGAAAAGCCCTTGACCATGTCAATTCAAATATGCAAAAAATTTCAGAATTTTAAATAACCTGAGGTGTTATTAAGAAAAACTAAAAATGACGGATTGTATGCAAATAATATAATTGGCAAAAATTTCTTTGCAACACTTGTGCAATCTGTTTTCCAAAAGGCAAACAAATTATCTAAATTTGACAATTGAAAGTGGGTCAAAACAAAGATTTAGTTTGTTACAGGAAAAGTCAGAAAATTTCAACAGCCTCAGACCAATATTTTTCAAGTTATGTAAAAAAAAACTACAAGGGGGTGGGTCAAATTGACCCCCCCCCCCACCGCAGGAATAGGGTTAAGTATGACGTCTATTGTCTAGGGTTTCCATTTTTTTCGAATCATTTTTGGATCCGTCTTTTCAAGCTAATTAAGTTGCTTGGAAATTCAGTCTTAAACAGAATTATGTCTGTTTTAAACATTTTATATTTAGGAAATGACAGAAGCAGCCTGGCGGAGAAAAATTGTACTTTGTGAGGAGATTTTACAAGTTTTAAAGGTTAACAAGTTCAAGGTGTCCCACGAAACATGACAAAACGACTTGAATGTCGTCTTAGATCCTGGAAGTTCTGACATTCAGTCATCAACCCGATTAAAGTTCTTAACACAAAAACACACTTTTATATGCAGGTCCTGGCATTCCAAAATGTGGTCTGCTTTCTTGTGAGTTGTCAATATTACCGAAAATTTCAACAGCGATCGTTCAGATTTCAATTTTGTTAAATTAAACCAAAATTGTCAAAATCTGAACGAAATTCTTCATACCGTGGGTAATATTAAAAGTAAAAATATAGCAGACCACATTTTGGAAATAATACTGTCATGTTTTGTGTGACACTCTGTATTTGTATAAACAAACCTACGGAAATTAGTAGATTTATGATTCTTTAGTTTTAAAAACATACCTAGAAAGGATAACATATAAATTAGACTATATATATATATTTCCAATGCAGTGGTCGCCAAAATTGAAATCGTAAGTGGTTTTCACCGTATTGATATATACGACGACGATTGTTAAAGTTCACAACTGCAAGGAAACATGAAACAATTCCGTTCAGACAACTTTCAAGTTTATCTTAAATTTAAAGGGACTGTGCAGTTTAGAGGTTTAGTTTCAAGAAATCCTCAATTTGAATACAGGCACGCTAGATTTACTGTAGTACCCTTGGAACTTTTGAAGGATATCTCTGTTATTCTATTTCAATATTGATTATTTTCAATTGTGGTCCTCCAGACAAGTGGGATGCGGAAGGAAGGGGGGTGAAACTATATCTTTTGATAAAGAAAAACAAGGATATCTTCCTCATTACTTGTCCTAAAGGTTAAAAGGAACCTTTGTGAAATGTGCATATAATTATTGAAATTGAGGGACAATTAAAATTACGTTTACAGTCCCTTTAATCTGCTTCTATTCAGGTTCTAGAGTCAGGTCTAACTACGTTTACAGTCCCTTTAATCTGCTTCTATTCAGGTTCTAGAGCCAGGTCTAACTACGTGTATAGTCCCTTCAATCTGCTTCTATTCATGTTCTAGAGCCAGGTCTAACTACGTTTACAGTCCCTTTAATCTGCTTTTATTCAGGTTCTAGAGCCAGGTCTAACTACGTGTACAGTCCCTTTAATCTGCTTCTATTCAGGTTTCAGAGCCAGGTCTAACTACGTTTACAGTCCCTTTAATCTGCTTCTGTTCAGGTTCAGAGCCAGGTCTAACTACGTTTACAGTCCCTTTAATCTGCTTCTATTCAGGTTCTAGAGCCAGGTCTAACTACGTGTATAGTCCCTTTAATCTGCTTCTATTCATGTTCTAGAGCCAGGTCTAACTACGAGAAAAGGAAGGATAATGTTTCTTTTCAGGTTCTAGAGCCAGGTCTAACTACGAGGAAAGGAAGGATAATGTTTCTATTCAGGTTCTAGAGCCAGGTCTAACTACGAGGAAAGGAAGGATAATGTTTCTGTCCAGGTTCTAGAGCCAGGTCTAACTACGAGGAAAGGAAGGATAATGTTTCTATTCAGGTTCTAGAGCCAGGGCTAACTACGAGGAAAGGAAGGATAATGTTTCTGTTCAGGTTCTAGAACCAGGTCTAACTACGAGGAAAGGAAGGATAATGTTTCTATTCAGGTTCTAGAGCCAGGTCTAACTACGAGAAAAGGAAGGATAATGTTTGAACTGTATTTACCCCTAGGTAACACAATTATTGTTTGAAGGGGCGTTAACAGGAATTTGTTGGGGGGGGGGAGGGTCTTAAATTAGTTTGGTTCACACGGTAAATATCCCTTCGGGGAACAATAGGACCCATTTAAGTATACACCCCTATAATTAGAACAATACAGTTTTTCTAGAAAATATCTACCTGGTATTCTACGACGTCGACATCCTAGATTTTTAATTTTTTAACAAATATTTAAGAATAGTATCTATATATGGTCATAGGTCTTCCTCGAGCTTTCTAGTATAGGACTAAATCATTGACCAAGAAAAAAAAGTTGCTTCGACAATTTAGATTTCTAAAAATAATAGTTTTAACGGCAATATAACAAGTAAATTCTTTACGTGCCACATAGGCAGGGCGGTCCGCGTCAATTATAGACCAATATCTACATGATTTGTGGACTATGTATCTTGTATTTAATAGTTCAAAAATATTTCATTTGTTTCTTTACTAAGATTTTAGTTTTTACCTAGATTGGTGTAGAACATTGATGTGTGTACAAAAAAGCACCGTATAGGTCAAAGACTGTCTAGAAGTTCGATTTAATTCCCATGTTTTCTGGGACCCCCTGTATATTTACACTTATCTCTTTCAGCAATGGTTGGGCAGTTAATCTTAAACAAAGACAAGGTAAATATCATTTTACTTTTAACTGTAAGCGTAATCTCAAGTTGTCCTCCGTGTAAAGACGACAATGCCCGATTCACAACGGTATCCTTAAAGCCAAATATGAATAAGATCAAAGCATATAAGTATTATCGAAGTTAGAAGTTTTGAAACATAGAAAAACGACAATATCTTCCACATAATTGGTCAGATAAAGGTTGGGTCCCGTTTTGAATCGAACTTTGCCATCTTTGCATGGAGTCACTTGAATTTACGCGTTCAGTCCCTTTAATCCAAAGGTATATATTGTATAGATAATCCCCCTCTTCGTATTTCTTTTTCAACCCCAGAAGCATGGATATGTTTGCGTTAAGCAACAATATTTTGAAGGTTTTATTCGCAGAGTTCAGGAAAAAGTGAGTTTTTAGAAGAATAAAAAGGTTGGACAAATCTTGCCACCCCCTCTCCCAAACATAAAAAACTGTTGTTGAAGATATAAACCCCGGTTATTTACTGTAAATCCTAACCCTCTCTCAATTTTCGCGAACACTTTCTAATAGTTCTAAAAATAAATCATATTTAGAGCACAGCTAAGAAAATGTTACAGAGAAGTTTGGTTACCCTAAAGCTTGTGATTCAGGTAAGTAAAATAGCTCATGGTGCTAAGGATGTGCATGTCTCATTGTGATTTCCCATGCTGGCATGGCGAAAAAGTCGCAGGCTGTATCTTAACAATGTCTAACGAATCAGACTTTTGTTTCAACATTCTGAGCCGCATAATTGCCTTTCTGTCTCTCCTTAATCATAGGCTCCCTAGGGCTCAATTAATCAAATTTACTCATTAGACACTCGAGGCCGTAAATGGAAATCCACAATTGTATTACTAGATTCAGAGCCGTAATCCTCAATTTTGATTCTAAATCCCGATCTCAATGTCGTTTCTATGAAACCGAGCAGTAATTCTCCGTTTTAATTCTAGATCCTGAGCTGTAGTTCTTTATTTTATTTCTAGATTTGGAGCCGTAATTCTCCTTTTAATTTCTATATCCTAAGCTGTAATCCTTCATTTAGTCTCTAGGTCCTGAGTCGTAATCCTTCATTTTTGAGCTGTAGTCCTCCTTTTTGTTTTTCATTTTATCTTTTACCAGGCCAAAACCTTTTAAGATCTGATAAGTTATCCATCATTTTGTTTTTAGATCCTGGGCCGCGAACCTGCTGGAACTTGGGAGTACAGAACAGCAAATGACAGCCAACAAAACGTTGAACAGTTACAAGAATTGATTAACAGTCTCGGATAAAATAAAGAACATTTAAACATATTAAACCTTTAAATGATATTCTGGAACGCGAAAGAAAAACCATTTTCTGGATAAGGTGGTTTAATGAATAAAATTTGACTTTGCAAATACCATTCATTTAAGAAGAGCCGAGTGTTTCAGAAATAAATATATTTATAAAGGAGAGTGTATGTGTACAAGGAACCTTAAATGCAAAAATAATCTATCACAAAGAACCCGCGGCAAGTAAGAAATCTTATAATATCTCTGTAAATATTGATAGCAGCCGGTTGTATTTTTGAATGTAGACTCATATAATTGCCTAGGAGCAGGATATGAAGTCAGATTGTCGACATCTCCTTCAGGAGACTTGGTACCTCTGAAAAGTGACCCTCGTCGGCTCCGATTTTTCTCCGGCCAAGTTGGACTTATTAGCCAATATTTATAATATATAATCCCAATGGCCCCTTAAATAAATGAAAAAAAATCCTCAAGTTTTTGAGGTTCCAAGTCTCCGGAAAGAGATATCGACAATCTGACTTCATACCCGGCTGCTATTAATATTTACAGAGATATTACAAAATGTCTTATTTTGCCTGTGTTAAAGTCGTATCCTTTGTAGGTAACCCTGCTAAAACTTTACCATAATATTATAGAATTCAAATTCATTGAACAGTGTAAATGGAAAAAAACGACAGAAGGATTTGTTGTCGTCTTTTCTCTACAAACTAATATTTAAAAAGATAAGAATATTTTATTTTCCGTTGGAAAAGATTTTATTGAAAAAAAATTACAATACACAACAATAATGAGACCATGAATATTTGAGACTTCTACAGGACAGTTCTGAAAAAATAAATAAGTTAAAATTAATGATAAATAATCATTTAGTTTATATAAATTTGTATAAATCTGATTGAAGTTGGCAAAATATTAACATTAACAGTGCTCAGTGTTTATATCAATACAATGAAGACGACTTTACTATTAAGTTTTTATTTCTGACAAGCTTGTTTATAATTCTAAGTTTACAAGTAAACAAAAAGAAGTTGTTAAATGACAACTTCTTTGTTTCCATTTTTATGTGTATCCATGCGGTAAGAAAGCTTGGTCAAAAAATGTAAACCGAAAGTCGTCTTCTTTGAATTGATAAATACGACAACGACTGTTTCACAATTTCCGCCAGTTGTGTTTGTCTGATTAAGTATTAAGTTGTGTTTGTCTGATTAAGTATTAAGTTGTGTTTGTCTGATTAAGTATTAAGTTGCTGTTTTTGTGTTAAAAAACATTTCGGATTTCTCTGCAAAGTTACCTTCCGCATTTCTAGCTCCAGAAACATTGGAGAAATTATCAGAATTACAACGTTTTTGATTCAGAAAACCGTTGTTAGCTTCCACAATATTTATCAGAGGTTTCAAAGGATTCGTTGTGATCTGGACATTCACCTCTTAACATTACTCGGGGATCACTTTAAATTACGAAGACATTCCCTTTAAGGGTGAACATTTTCAAAGATATTAAAAACCCATTTTCTCATGCTTAGCCCATATTTACCTAAATTCTATCTTTAGCCTCCAGCATAACAATAGAGTTTCCTCGGACAACCACCATACCAATCTCATTCTTTGTATTCTAGATAGATAAATATAGATATTTAGATAGCTAGATGTAATTAAAGATCAGTTCGATAGGTAGCTAGATAAATAGATGTATGAATAAAAATAGAAAGATATGGAAAAACAGACTTATTGAATATACATGGTACAGTCTAGTATAAGATTTTTGGACCCCAGCCCCTTCCAATTTCTTAATTATTGTCCATAACTAGATAGATAGAGATAGATATTTCTACCTGCTTGGTGATCTCTGTAGTATTATCCAGAACTAGATTCATGAAAGGATCGAAGCCGGTTAGAACTCCTTCTACCTAAGATCAATCAATCAATCAATCAATCAGAGTTTTAGGTACATATAATGCCCAAGATGAATGTACTAAATCAGGAAAGAGATATGGTATGTGATAGGGTCCCTTATGTTCAGAGGTATATATTAAAATCATTTGGATGAATTGGAAAAAATTAGAAGAAAGTTATGTTTTTGATTCTATTTTACTTTTCCTACGAAAATCACTTCCTCAATTTTGAGAAAAATCGTGAAAATAATATACAACATGAGAAAAAATGTTTTTTTTTTCAAAAGGGGGAGGGGGAATTTATTATAGAAAATATACAGTACACCCCTGAAATTAGAATTGCTTGTTAGGGTTTGTATTACTAATGGGTAAGATAATAATTTTAAGGGTGAAATCATCAAAATTTTGGGTAAAAAATAAATAACTTAAGTTTGAGCAGAATTATAATTATTTATCATGAATGAATAAGAGAGAGTAAGCTGAACTAGGTTTGCGTTGAGAAGAAACTTAATTCAGAAATTTCACAAGCTGTGACAAATCTAAATATAATTTAAAATTCCAAGAGAAAGAAAAACCAAGTTTTAAAGCAATGTTGGTAGGAAAAAGATGAATCACGGTATCAAATATTTTATCATTAATAATTTGATGATGATAGATGTTGCTCGTAAAGATCAAAGCCGGGATCTCATATCAGCTGTCGAGGGAGTCAGAAGCCTAAAAAATATTACTATTATGCTAAAAAAAATATGATAAGTAAAAAAAGTTTGTCAAAAAAATATCAAACTAAGAGAGGTGGAGGGACGGACACTGAATAAGTGTTACCTGCGGCTTACTTGAGACTAACATAATGCCATTTGTTAACATCAGCAGGCAGGGGTTCATCAGCTGCAGCTCCCAGCATCTGAACAATCAATCAATCAATCAATAAATTAAAGACTAGTAGCGGAGGTCCTCATTAGAGAAATAATTCAAGAAATCCACGAACAAGATGAGATAAATACTTGAAAACAGAAAATTCAAAAAGAAGAAAACTAAAAGAATTACTCATCCTTCAGCAAGGGAATAGTATTCAAATGACAAACAACAACTAGGGAGGGGACAGGGGTGGGGGGGGGGGGTGAATATTTTTTCAAAATGAAAGTCCTGTAAAATAAACGAAAAGTTGAATGTATACATTCTGCACGAAGCAGAAAAGAAAAATTTTAGTTCTAGTGTCTTATTTTCCTTATATTTAATAGTATATCTTTTTATCCCATTCCTGGCTTAATCATATTCACTATGTGTACAAAGTCCCCCATAATAGTCTACAGCAAACTTTTTTTTGTAATTCATCGAAAATGTCGTCATTTTAGTCACTATATGTAGTCCCTTTGTTGTTGGTTTGTGTAGTCTGCAGTAAATAGTTCATACAAGTACTTTGAGACTATTATATCATAATCCGTAAATAGTCTTTCTGTAGTCCCTCTGCCCTTGTTAACCAGAGAGGTGCTATAACCCTTTTCTTCTCTTGTCAGCTGCAAAAGTCCTGTTAGGCCGATAGAATCCTTATTTTATCTTGATATTCTTCTTTTATAATAAGCAATTTCATGGGTCGTCAGTTTCCTAAACCCTTAAATGTCATTTTTTATAATAAACATATGAAGTAACATGTTATTTATTTATATGGGTTTCTTGAGAGATAAATAAAGTGACTGACTTTCTTCAAATTGAAAAGGAGAAAATAGTAAGAGTCTCTATTATAAATAATGTGCGATGCGCCAAAGAAAAATGTCGGTGTTTTATCTTAATATTGATATTCTTTCTTTCCATTCTGCAGGGGGGGGGGGGGAAGCCCTCTCACTAGTTGTTAGGGGAGGGCCCCCCCCCCCTAGTTGCGCCTCCTCACCGTGGGATGAATGAATAATGAATGAAAGGAAGAAAGGATGGGTGAATAAAAGGATGAATGAATAAATGAATGAAAATACAAGATGAATAAAATATTTACAACCTGAGAGACGACAGCGGCAGCGTCGTCGGCCGAAATAGAGTGAGAGTTCCCAAGGGTAGTGTTAACTAGGCTAGTACCCTAGATATACAGGTGTATATATTAATTAATCAAAGGTGTATATTTTCTCGAAAAATAATTCCCCCCCTTTTGAACTCATTTCCCCAACAATTTGTTTAGGGTTTTATGTGCTTAATTTTATAAAAATCAGTAAATATTTGGGTAATAAGTATCAAATTATATTATATTATTGGGTAATGGGCAGGGAGTAAGTAATAGAAAGTAGATATAACTGACACGGCCCGCTCTACCATATGATTATACATGCTTTGCAGACGGGTACTCCATTTGTATATGAAATATTCAGAATAGGTTATTGTATACGCGGTAAATGTACATCAGACAAATATTTCATATACAAATGAAGTACCCGTCTGCAAAGCATGTATAATCCCTGGTAAGGGGTAATCTAGAAAAATATCCACCCCTTTAATTCATAGAAAAATATCCACCCCTTTAATTCATAGAAAAATATCCACCCCTTTAATTCATAGAAAAATATCCACCCCTTCAATTCATAGAAAAATATCCACCCCTTCAATTCATAGAAAAATATCCACCCCTTCAATTCATAGAAAAATATCCACCCCTTTAATTCATAGAAAAAGCATTCCGCAAGGGCGGAAGGATTTTCGAAATTTTTTAGAAACACCTAACAACTGAACGTAAACTGGCACGCTTTTAACCTGGGAATTTTATTATTTTTCTCGTAGATTAACAAAAAGAAAAAATGAGTTTTTTTACAAGAAGACTTGTCTTCTAAAGCAGTTATTTGTTGAATAGATCATTTGACGCTAATTTTCTAACTTTGACTCGAAACCAAAGTATTCTTTTAAAAACATGATTGTGAAAAAAATAAACATTAAACAACTTTTATAATATTTGTACTACTCAAAGGTTTAAACCAACAGGTTGCAAAGATGAGAGATAATAAATTATTTAGAGCTTTTTAATAAAAAACGTCTAACCTTAGCTTCGATTTCCCCGGACATCATTTTTTTCCAGCTTTCGTTGGTCTGAGCGATCACGTTCTCGGCAAACTCACGATCCTACGATCATTTCTACATTTCAGGTTTATTTTCAGAGAACTAATATCAGCGAAAAATACTAAGTTAAGATAAGCGAATGAATTATAGAAACTTCAGGAACAATAAATTTTTGTACTGACAAAAAAGATGCCAATCTTAATTTACAACAAACCATTAGTTCTCACCTTTGGCTTGGAGTCGAAGGCGAACTCATTAGCGGGCTTTCCGTCGGGGATCTTGTAAATCTTAAACCATTCCACCGTTGCCTAAAATGTATATTATGTACTTTATATATAAAAATTTAAAGGGACTGTAAGCGTAATTTCAAGTGAATTTCCGGAAATAGAGATAGATGTTTGATTCACACGGTACCCTAGAAAACTTAGGCTGATCAAAATTTACGAACACACGAGCTGGTTATTTATTGGTATATTTCAAGTGTGGGTTCGAAATAAAAATTGATTCGCGGATTTCTACTGCAGAAAACATTTAAAAATAAGTTTTTTATATGCATAATTTAAATTTAAATGATTTTATTTTTAAAAAAATTTAAAATAAATTTCATGGGCTTCTTACCGTGAGGAAACCGGGCATAAGCTTCTCTACATCATGGATATCGTTGAGGTTTTCGGCCAGAGGATCAGTTACATCGATTCCGATAATCTTCCAATCCGTCTCACCCTACATTATACAGGTTATCAATCCGTCTCACCCTACTCAACATTACAGTTTACCAGTCTACATCAATCTACTCAACATTATACAGGTTTACAACCCGTCTCACCCTACTTAACATTATACTTGTTATAACTCCGTCTCACCCTACTCTACATTATACTAATTAACAATCCGTCTCACCCCATTTTAACATTACACTAGTTATCAATCCGTCTCACCCTACTCAACATATTACAGGTTAACACTCCGTTTCACCCTACTCTACATTATACTAATTATCAATCCATCTCACCCTACTCAACATTATACTCGTTAGCAATCAGTCTCACCATACATAACATTTTACAAGTTAACACTTCGTTTTACCCTACTCTACATTATACAGATTAACAATCCATCTCACCCTACTCAACATTATACTGGTTAACAATTCGTCTCATTCTACTCAACACCTAGTTATTTATCCGTCTCACCCTACTCAACATTATACAGTTCATTTATTTATTATACTATTTTGAATCCGATAATTTAAACTTAAACCGATTTTCTTGCATCGCTCTTTAAAGTCAAATTAATATTCAAATCCATAAGACAAAATTGGAAAAAATGCGCAAAATTGTTTGAGCCTACTGCGCCTGCGTGAACTGACCTCGTCGATGAGTGCGAAGGTTCCCAAGACCTTGAACTGAACAACGGACCCCCTGGGATGGATCTTCTGCCCGATCTCGCAAACGTCGATGGGGTCGTTGTCCCCTTTGCAGTTCGTGCTAGGGTCTTAACACAAAATATCAATAATTGAAATTGAAGAAGGTTTTACAGAATGGAGTAGGGTGGGGCCGTATTTGTTACATTTAACCAGACCATTGTTTCATAAATTGTTTCAAAAATTGAGATTAAAAAAATAATTTAATGGCGTGCTGTGGGGGGGGGGGGTTCTTTGTTGTGGACATTTTTACCTTATTTGTGGGGGGGGAGGGGGGTACCTGTATGGTTTGGATCCTCCCATGTTTGAGGGATAGCGCCATAGTTCCAAATATACCCGTGATGGGGGAAACAGTTCGCCACATACCTACAACATAAAATCAATTTAAAATCTGTGTTGTCGTAATTTCAAGAATTACCCTTTATTTCGAAAAAAAGAATTTTTCAACCCGTTTTAATTTTTACAAAAACCAGAGTTTTTCATTAAAATTGGCCCAGTTGACTGTTGAGCAAATTTTTTAGATACAAAAACTGTGATGATTATTTATTTCCTGGATTTCAAAAACTTGAGTGGCAGATTTTTTAAATAACAGTTTGGCAGAGTTTTAAAAGAAGTTGTTAAAGAAAAACATCATTAATGAAAAATCTTTTGGGAATAAAAAGCTTATTTTTGGGGGGGATTTACCATTTGTCGTTTTTGGTCAGATAAACCAGAATAGCTTGAAAACCAAACATAATAAATTAATTGAATGATTGTTGTTGATTCCGTTGCACAGGACCTACCGGAGTTTCCCCTTCTTGACATCCTGCTTGAGGGGATTGAGACTGGACTTGAGATCTATCTCTATCTTAGCATTACTCCACCGTGGGACTTCTACAACCATGTTGTAAACACCCTCTCCTGTAATATCATTCATCATTCATCGTTGATCGTTGATCATTGATCGTATTCGTCACTCATCCTTCATCATATTTATCGTTACTTGTTCATTGTTCATTATTCATTATTCATTATTCATTATTCATTATTCATTATTCATTATTCATTATTCATTATTCATTATTCATTATTCATTATTCATTATTCATTATTCATTATTCATTATTCATTATTCATTATTCATTATTCATTATTCATTATTCATTATTCATTATTCATTATTCATTATTCATTATTCATTATTCATTATTCATTATTCATTATCCATTACTCATTATTCATTATCCAGTATTCATTATTCATTATCCAGTATTCATTATTCATTATTCAGCATTGATCGTATACGTCATTCAACCTTCATCCTTTAGCATTGTATCGCTAATGTTCATCCTTCATCCTTTATCATTGTTTATTTATCGCTCATTTTCATCGTTTATCGTTCGTCAATTATCCTTCATCCTTTATCATTTATTTTGATAACTTTCAATCAAAGGGGATGGTGGAGTTGGCACATTTGATGTAGGGGGGGGGGGGCCCTGCCTTCATTTTTGGTTCAAATCTTCCAATTTTTTGGGTGCACGCCTAATT